TGAATTCAAGCAATTAATCAACCCCCCCCTCCACTGCCACCCAAAACTGCCCGTACTCAATCGTCATGGGTCTTTTTAAAATGTCTTCTTCAAATAGTTGAAATTATAATTCACAATTCAGAGTAGTCTCCCCCCCCCCCTTATTAACAGCCTACAGATTTGGAATGTAATACAAACAACTTCACAAATTATAAACTGTCTGTAGACAGGAGGACCCACACTGAGGCAAAGACTTGGTGGTGTGAAAAACTGAACCCTCAATGGCATGTTACAATTCAAATTACTGACATATAACAAAACTACAGATATCCCAATGGCTTATGACAGTCCATTGGGATGAAACATCATATACCAGGAAAACCAGTGAACATAAGGAAGTGGCTTAAATGAAACACAGAACACTCAAAGTATTCATAACATCAAGGTGTTTATAGAACTGTAAATAAGGGGGAAGTGCAAGTGTTATTAAAACATTTTCAGCTTGTTGTGCCCACAGATCTGCTAGTATAAAATTGATCTCATTCATGTTCTCCAAACCTTTCTATCATTGCATCTTCTAGCCTTCTGCAGAGTGCATCTGGTTGCCAGGGGATCCCTGAAAGCCAGCATCATGGAAACTGGAATTGGCTTAGTGTTAAGTATGAGTTCAAATTCTCTTTTATCCCACATATTCAGTAATGGTATGGTTAGCCAAGAGGAAAATAAATGTACTTCTGAACATGTACATGTTCAGAATCATTCCCTTCTTTTTAACTATTGCACATGTTTCAGTTCAGTTCGGTCACTGACACATGATTACATGAGCTTTGTCTAGACCGTATAATCAGTCCTCAGATCTGCTTAGCAATCAGTATTACTACCGTTCGGGAAGGGTTGAACATAATAAATAACCCTCACATTAAGATCAGTGCATGGTCACTAGTAATATAAGCATCTGTTTGGGACAGAGCTACTCGTAAAGTTTCCCTTTCTGGAATACAGCTCCCAGAATTTTCCAGCAAGAATGACCACTGAGTGTTGCATTTCAGAAAAGTATAATTTCTAAGTTCTAGTTCAAGATTATACTATTTGCCCATGAGGCAAAAGCAAAAGTGATACCCTGTCCAAGAGAAACACTCAAATATTTCTTGCCACTATTGCTTGGATGTACATTTTGGACCAAGCATGAATGCATCCTGCACACCGATATCTGTTATGTCCAAGTAAGCAGTGTGACCTAGCCTCTATTCTCAGGATTCTTTGGGGGCATCCCTGTTTCAAAGACTACAATCTCAGCCCTGGGAAGTTTCAGCTCAAGTTAAACTCTGTTTCTATTTTGCCTTCACATTTCATTTTTAGACATCCTGGAATATTTTTCATGCTCTGGCCTATTGGATTTCTTGAGCTGCTGATCTCCAGGGTACAGTAGAAGACTTTGGGTAAAACAGATTTGATATGGAAGATCCATGATTGGTTTTCATTATAATTTTAGTTGAATTCATTCCATTATTTTGTTCTTACGTAACCCCTTTAAAATAGCTGCTTCTAATTGAACCAGATGGAGTGTTTAATCCACCCTTCCTCTGCCATTCTCTCAAGTTAAGTTATGATGATGAAAGTATGATGCTACTAACTTCCAAGTAATCAAAAACAACCAAGCAAGAAAACAACAGCAGGACTATGGAAAATGTTTAAACAAACCTTCCCCAACATAACTGCTCTCATCAACATCAGTCCAGAATGCCTGCTTTATAGCTTTTTTTAAATGAAGGATCCAGTCACAGGTCTTTTATGCCATTTCTGTTTCTGTGTTTATTCTTTCTACATGGCTAATGGTAGTACAATCTGGTTTCACCTGGTTTTAAATCATTATTTCATCCATTGTCTGTAATATAGGTTTCAAAACTAGTAAGGAGACTGGTTAACTGTAAGAGTTAGCAAGTAGCTACATTGTGTGTGCAATTCGAAGGAGCTCCAAGAAAGCTCCTGTGAGTCACACAGGCCCTCTATAAGGCTAGGGAGGCTAGGGAGTTATAAATAAACATTTAGTAAGGAGCCAAACTGAAACAGACTAAGGTGGATCATGAGTCTGTCACATAAATCCCCTGTCCCATCTCTGCTTGTTCATCTGAACTATATGTTCCTTTGGACTTAAATATATTCCACTTCTTGGCTTTAAAAGCACAGTCCCCCATCTCCTCAGGAGCTTCTTAACAGCTGAGAATGTACCCATCTTTCCCTTGATAGATTAAATTCACTCCCTCACACCTCAGAGGCCATTTATGAAAATAGCCTCCCTCCTATCAATCATTCTCTCTCCTTGGCCATACAAGGGAGGTGAGAGAGAAAGAATATAAAAGGAGGACAGAGCAAGACAACAGGCAGGCACTAAAGAGGAGAACTGACAGGTATACCTACCTGTCTGAAGGGGACAAGAAACAATGGCAGGGCAACCATCTATCATTTGGTGAGACAGATCCTTTTCCCTAGCAGGATATCTGATTGACATATCTAATAACATCAAGCATATATCTCATTGCACTCTTTTCATTTTCTCTTTCCCTACCTCTAAGAAATTCTTCTAAACTCTGTAGCTGAGTTGCAATTTGATTCTAAATCAAGAAGCCAACAGCCAGAATCTTTTTTTTAAAAGTCCAAGTAGTTTATTTGTAATCTCACCCATTTGTGCTTCTGGTCTCTTATGTTCTATTTGTCTCTGAAGCATAGAGTTAGCAAAGAGTAAAAAAAAATACTCAAAAGGAAACCTGTCCTAGCTCTGACTCCTCCTTCACACAGTTGCTGCACCACCACCCTAGGAATGCTTTGTGACATTTCCCTTAAAATTCTGGTTGTAGAAAGATTGCAGAGTGGTCACAAATGGCATCAAAAACTTAAATGCTAAAATAAATGATAAACCAAGTAACAGATTATGGCTACAAACCTATACCAATGTGATAATATCACTTTTGATCATCTATGAACCACTGATTTTTTTTCTTTAAGACAAGTATTGTTTAAAATAATGTTTTTATTTTTAGAAAAAACAGAGTTGGTTAAATAACTTTCAGATAAGATATTTAAACATATACAAGATCGTTGCAAGTGTACTGCATCATATGCAATATTAAAAAAAAATCCCAGATGAATATACTTCACTCAGTCTTAGATGCTTCAGAGTGACAGGGAGGTAAACATTACAAGGTGCTGCACTGCAGCTTCTCATCCCATAAAATGTTATTGGATAAAAGAGGTGTTCTGAGGGAGGGCTGGTGCACTTCTTAAGACAGCCACACAGTGGCAGTCCTCATATGACAATTCCTCCCCCACAACAACCAAAAAAGGGCTTCAGTGGAGTGTAGAAAGTGATCCACACTGTGAACTGATATCCATAAAATGACTTTCCATATGGAGACAGCTGCCTTACAGAGCAACTTAGACCAATCTATAACATATGCCGCGTGTCATGTCCCATTCATCTTCAACAGACACTGTAGCGGTATAGGAAAGCAGAGCTTTAGACTCTTTTCGCTCTCTCCTATCTAGAATTGGCGAAGGTCCTTCCATATATGACGAAGGCACAAAATAATCTGCCAGTCAGCTATTGGCAAAATATTAGAAGCTGAAGCATAACTTGCAAGTGTTACCTTTTTGAACTACAACTCACTCACTCCCCACCCCCAGGCAGCATGGGTGGGATTTTGGGAACTGTAGTCCAACAAAGTGACTTTCCTAATTTCTGACCCACATGATCAGAAATCCAAAAACAGCTAAATGGACTCACTCAAGGTCATGAAATATGCTATTGAGAAGGTCCTGTTTAAAAGATGCTACATATTGGCTTCTTGTGGGATTCAAGTTCAGGCCTGTTTCTTATCAAAGACCTAGCCATCCCCCAGCAAGGGCTACAATTTTCCAAGATGACAATGATGTGTTAGCAACTAAAAACATACAAGTTAGCAATTTAGCTTATTAAATTAATAATACTTTACAATTTTCACTAGGTTTGTTCTACTCTTAGAAAACGAACAAAGAGATGCAGGTTAGATCAAAGGCCTGACTTGCAGATCACATTTCCCCCCCAAAAAAGTAAACTATATGATACACACAACATGTTTCCCCATAAACCACATTCCTACAGACTACCATAGAATACATAATTTTCAAGGGAGCCAATTACTTTTATTATCTATTCACAGAACAACATGTTCAGTAAAACACAGATTTAGGGATAATTCGTTGATTAACAATGAATGCATGTGACTGGTGCTAAAAAATTTCCGAGCCACAACACTTTAAAAAGAAGTGAGAAAGACCTGACAAATAATTATTACTCAGTAAAACTTTATTTCTAAACAAAGTTCCCTTGCTGAGCTGGGTCCACAACTGAAATAACTCAGTTCACAACCACCATGCCACCATTTATTTTGATTCACCTTTCTTTGAAGCCGGTGGGACTTAGGTATGCAGTCTGCACTGACATTTGTGAAAAATTACATAAATTAGCAGTTTTATCCATGCAATTTACTTCTACACCCATGTGATAGTTGCTGTCATTATCAATAGGTGCTTCCCTCGACAGCAATGCTTTGATTATCTTTGTCAAACATCTTCCAAGTCTTTCTACCTGATTTTGAGCTATGAACAAAAGTTACACTTGGAGCAGTATTTTCAGCTATGAAATATTTTGTGTGTTTTGTGTATACAAGGCATACTCCTTTTTTGACCATCTCCAAGGCCTACAGCATTCTTGTTCACAGGCCCTTTACTTTATGCACTTTACCCAACAATTTTTTAAAAAAATGTACCACTGCTGTTTACTGTTGCTACCTGGAAGCATGTCCCTCTCATTATATATAAGAAGAAGAGGAGAATGGGATTGGAAACAACGACAGGTTTTTAGGCCCAGGAACATCTGCTCATTTCCCTTATATTTCTTCCTAGACTCAGAACAAAAATTTGGACCTGCTCTTCCTTCCTGGTCCCCTTTACAGATAGATCCCTCGCCTGAATCTCCTCCTTACCTGAGAGGGGAGAGCTGAGAGAAGCGAGGAGCTTTCTGCCGAATGGGACAGGCTGCAGGGTCTGCAAACTCAACGAGGTGATTAAGTCCTCCTGTTATAGTGACATTTGATCTTCTAGAGAAGCCCATTGGCCATCACACTCACAACATAAGGAGGGAAAGAGCAAGGAAAGAGAGAGGAGGGAGTCGAAAGGGGGTGGGGATGAGAAAAGGTCATACCAAGTATAGGAGCAGCTGAAGGAACTGCACCAGGCTAAGATGGGTGGGACATGTTTGAAAGGGGGTGGGGGGGAGAAGTGAAACAAACACCCTATAGTTAAGGATTCTATATTTATAATCCAACTAGGCAAGCAAAATTTAAAGAGGGATGTCCAATGCAAAGGAGCTGGAAGCTCTCAAGACTGTGGTGAAGAGTGGAACTTAGTACTGTTCAACAGCCAGACGACATTACTTTCAAGCCCATGTTGTCTCAGAATTATTTCAACCTCAACAGTGCTGCATTTATCACAACTCTTCTTCCATTGTTTTCTGCTCTAAAGTTTTGCCCTCTTTCAAACAGGGTAGTATGGTTGGTCAGATTGGCTCGAAACATTTTGGTGTCTGAGTTGAAGGACAAAATAGTACCTCAGGAGCTGATCAGAGTGGCAGACGAATCCCACCTCATCATTGTCAGTGGTGGACCAGCACCTTCTCACTGCGCTTGAAAACAGTAAGCCATGAGGCAGGAAGTAGGGCAGGACACACGGCATACAAACCTATGTCCTCCCACATGACACTGTCACTCATCCAGTCATGAGGTGGCGGCCTCCTCTTGCCTTATTGTAGACTCAGACCTGCGGCTGGGATTTAGGAAAGTTGCCTACCTGATTTCTAGGCACAATGTCACAGTGAGAAATAAGAGGAGCCCATTGCTTCAACTACATGAGATAGTTACTATCTTGGATCATCATGGTGACCTAGCAAGTAGAACAAACTAGTGGGGCTCCATCCACTCTCTTGCAACTTCCTTGCAAAAATGGGTCCGATGGGGACATAGCTCAATCTACCAGATCAGAAAGTTAAAAATAAGAAGCACTGCCAAGTTTTGTATTGAATTTTAATTGTTGTAAGCCGCCCAGAGACCTTTGGGTAGAGTGGGCGGCATATAAATTAAGTAAGTAAGTAAGTAAGTAAGTAAGAATTTGTAGTGACACAAGATTCAGTCAGCTTGCATAGGCCAGGCCCCTAACACTTCTTTAAAGTACTGTCTATATGCCCGATGATGGTGAACGCTTTACGCGGGACCTCATTGGAAGAGTTTGGACGAGGCCGCCCTTGCATGGCCCTGCCAATAGAGGGCTCGCGGCACCCAGGAACGGAGCAAGACTGGTGGCTGCCGCGCTGAAAAGGCGCTTTCTCTCCCTTGCTTCGGCTTCCCGAGTCGGTTCCATCCCCCGAACCACCTCGCTGTGGCGCGGCTCCCTTTGCCATGTAACCCTCCCCCCCCCTCTCTCTCTCTCACACACACACACGCACTCCCTGCCATCCGAAGAGGTCGGGCTCTGCGGCTGCCTCTTTGCGTGAAGAGAGCGAGGCTTTGGGTCGGGAGCCGCCGTGCATGTGTTTTATTTTGGGCAGGAATCTCCCCTCCCTCTCTCCCTCCCGGGGTCGGCGAAGGAAGAGTCCTCCTGGCAAGGATGCGCCGACAGGTTTTTTAACCCGCCGAAGCTGAGAGCAGCGGGCCTGCAGCTTGGAGCCTCCCGGAGGATTCACTCGCAAGGTAATGAGGGCAAAAGTGAACTTTTCCCATTTTAATTTAGTGAGAGGTGTGTTGGGGGGGGGGATTGAAAAATACTTCCCGCCTTTTTTGGGCTCAGTGAACCAGCGTCTCCTGACTCGGCAGGATGCGAGAGAGGAGAGTTGGCGCTATAAAATTGGAAGAGGTCGCACCTACGGCCAATTGCGAGGCGGCCACCTCCTTTAAAGAAGTGGCTGAAAATGCTTTCCTTTGGTTTTTAAACCCTGTGACGCTGAATGAGGCCCGTTTGCCTCAACTATATCCTCAGCGTCTGTGGTGCGTTTGTCGGAACCTTTTCTTCTGCTTGGAGAAAGTGCTTTGTAGGAGCGCTTTCGTCTGCTGTGCAGGGGCAGGCAGAAATGGCGCGCGGTGAAAGGCTGCAAAGGTCAGCTCAGACCAGCAGGTCTCTCATCTTTGGACAACTGGCTGCATAAAAGTTTGAAGCAGCATGATGGGACAGAAGAAGTAACTGGCCTGCGTAGCATATACCCTACCAGCTCCTGTCTTGTACAGGTGTATGCAGCACCTTGCCAAAATTGTGAGATTTTCTGTGGACAGGGCTTAGGTGCAACCTGTCCTCCCCACACAGATAATTTCAATAAGACCCAGATCACAAGCAGTAAGTTTTGTTTTAGTTACAGAAAGGTGCTGTGATGTCTTTAGGGCCATTTGATATTGATTACAGGGATCGCTGTGTTACTTTGCAATGCGTAGCCTGCATAATTAACTTGTAAACCACCCAGAGAGTGCTTGAAGCACTATGGGGCGGTATATAAGCAGCACACTTTGCTTTGCTATATTCATTTTCCTCAGAAGAAGTCCACTGGACTCAATGGTAAATATTTACAGTATAGGACTTTGTTATTAGTTGCTGCAGAAGCAACAAAGACAGACATTAAAAATCTTGAGGACTAACATATTTTTATGGCATCAGGATAGACCAGAGTGAAGGGCTAATTTCATTGTTGGATCTATGTTATAAAATCCTGCACCTTTTCATTTAACCTAATAGAGGTGTCACCACAACAAAGACTTTGGAATTTGTTTTATGGCCAACACAGCTACCCTGAATTTTTGCATTATTGGGCTATCTTTCTTAGTATAATTTCTTATGCCAATGCTTGTTATATTATCAGGCACTGTAAGGCAACTGCCTCAAATGATAGATATTGGAGTCCAAGGAGCAATAGTAAATTGCTGGGGGACAGAATTGGGTGTGCCATGTCATCTGCCCTGTGCCTCCTAAGCTATTTTGCTGCCCCCCAGTGCAGTGGAGGATGCTATCCCATTGCCAGCCTTGTACGAACTATGCATTGCAGGGTTGAAAAACCACCCTTGACTGCAGAAATTGGAAATTTGGCACCCTGCAATCTAGCTCCATAGGGAGTTGATTGGATTCTTTGTATTCTCATCCTCCAGACTCTGTTTATTCAAAATACACTGGACATCCATTTTTAAAATGTATCCAGTAGATTTGCCTTGTGTCACTGGATCTCAAGTACTGCTTATCCTCTAACCCAGTGGTCTCCAACCTTGGGCCTCCAGATGTTCTTGGACTACAACTCCCAGAAGCCTTCACCACCACCTCTGCTGGCCAGGATTTCTGGGAGCTGAAATCCAAGAACATCTGGAGGCCCAAGGTTGGGGACCACTGCTCTAACCTGTGAACTTCCATGGAAAGATAAGGGAAGCATCTTTGCACCTTCAAACAGATGCATCAACTAGTGCAGTTAGGTCATTTTAGTATCTGGAGTGAATGGTCTTCCAGGAAGAGGAAGCCCATTAGACTATGACACTTATCACACCTATGCCCACTGAAGCAGTTTTTAAAAATAGGTATGAAATAATGTTCCATCCTTGTTTCAGTTACCTATGGGCTTTTGTATGATTGTCTCCCCCTTTCGTCCCATTCTATCATCTGCATCATGTACTCTGTCTAGCAGAGTAGTATTTACAGTGATGTTCCTGAGACTGAGAAAAATTATTTGGGCAACACAGCAAACAAGTTGTTCTAGATCAGGATATTTTCTTCCTACTCTTTTCATTTCATCCATCAGCATTTATGCTTTCATCCTTGTCACCATTCTATGCCTTTCGTTACACAGAAGCTGCCTTGCATTATAAGCCAACATTTTTCTTTCACCTGTGTGCTCACTGGTAGCAACCTGACACCCCACCAAAACACATCCAGTAACCTGCTGTTCAAAATGCCCCTGATTCCATTCCTGCTTACTAGTGTTCAAAATGAGTCTGAGGCTGTGTCTTTCCCTCATCCTTCCTTTCCCACAAGGATTTCATAACAAAAAACAATTCGTAACAAGTAAACCACATAACATAAAGCTGCAGAACACATAGTGTAATGGGAGAGGAGCTGTGGATGCAGAAGCTGGGCAATTGCAATTAATTTTCTTGTTAAAAATGTCAATTTGAGATCAGCATCAGAAATAAATGTCACACCTCATTTTCATCTTGGAACACAGAGTGGCATATAGGGTGGGTTGCAAGGCATAAAGAGCACCCTACCTAATCAAGAAGTGCCCCTACCATTGCCAAATAATTGTGTGATTATAGCTGGGTTAGGTTGGGCAGTCTGGTGTCTTCCAGGTGTTTTGGACTAAGCCTTGCCATCCTTCTTGACCATTGTCCTTGCTAGCTGAGCCTTGGATGTTATAGTCCCAAACACCTCCAGGGCACCAGGTTGTCAGCCCCTGTTTTATATTATTTGTAGTGCTTATATTACTTGATAGGGGATGTGGTGGCGCTGCAGGTTAAACTGCAGAAGCCTTTGTGCTGCAGTGTCAGAAGACAAGCAGCCGTAATATCAAATCCACGCAACGGAGTGAGCTCCCGTCGCTTTTCCCAGCTCCTGCCAACCTAGCAGTTTGAAATCATGTAAATATGTGAGTAGATAAATAGGTACCACCATGGTGGGAAGGTAATGGCGTTCCGTGTCTGGTCGCGCGGGCCACATGACCACGGAAGATTGTCTTCGGACAAACGCTGGCTCTGTGGCTTGGAAACGGGGATGAGCACCGCTCCCTAGATGACTGAGGCTACAAGGCTTCTTGAGACAGCATGCTCCTCACAGACCACTTGTATACATAAAGCCTATATATCTGATCCCTGTGGATTCCTCTATAATCCCATATTTGTTTCTTCCATGTAATAGACATGCAATATATATCCAGCTGAAGCTACCATTCCACATTAAAAGCACAGAGCTGGCAGCAATACCACCCACATACAATAAAGTATTTTCCTGTACATCTAAAAGAAAAAGTCATCATCATCTGAGAACTGCAGAGCTGGGAGGGACCCTGTGAATCATCAAGTCCAGCCCTTGTCTTGGAGGCACAGTGGGGAATTGAACTCTCAACTTCTGTCTCCACAGCCAGAGGCCTCAACCACTGCTATCTGGCAGTTCATGTACAGAAGTTTAGTAGTGTGTAAGCAGGTCTGGATAGACAAATCATATGAAATAAGCATGTCAGAGTGATTCTGCGTGTCTTGACATGTAATCTTTAGTGTGCTTGCCTTAAGTTAATTTGGCCCATGGGCCAGTAGAGCATATCTATGCCTGCAGTGTAACAACAACATAACTCAGTATTTACAGTAGAATTAACTTTGTATCCTTTATACTCCACAAGCCCTACTCTCCCCCACCTGCCCACTTTGTTGTTGTTTAGTCATTTAGTCGTGTCCGACTCTTCGTGATCCCATAGACCAGAGCACGCCAGGCCCTCCTGTCTTCCACGTCCTCCCGGAGTTGAGTCAAATTCATGTTGGTAGCTTCAATGCCACTGTCCAATCCTCTGTCGTCCCCTTCTCCTCTTGCCCTCCCACTTTCCCAACATCAGGGTCTTTTCCAGGGAGTCTTCTCTTCTCATGAGATGGCCAAAGTACTGGAGCCTCAGCTTCAGAATCTGTCCTTCCAGTGAGCACTCAGGGTTGATTTCCTTTAGAATGGATAGGTTTGTTCTGCTTGCAGTCCAGGGGTTCTCAAGAATCTCCTCCAGCGCCACAATTCAAAAGCATCAGTTCTTCAGTGGTCAGCCTTTTTTATGGTCCAGCTCTCACTTCCATACACCACTATAGGAAAAACCATAGCTTTGACTATGCAGACCTTTGTTGGCAAGGTGATGTCTCTGCTTCTTAAGATGCTGTCTAGGTTTGTCATTGCTTTCCTCCCAAGAAGCAGGCGTATTTTAATTTTGTGGCTGCTGTCACCATCTGCAGTGATCATGGAGCCCCAGAAAGTAAAATCTGCCCCTGCCTCCATATCTTCCCCTATTTGCCATGAGGTGATGGCCACTGTCCTTCTTTGGGATTGGGATGTAGACTGATCTTTTCCAATCCTCTGGCCACTGTTAAGTTTTCCAAACTTGCTGGCATATTGAATATAGCACCTTAACAGTGTCAGACCTACAGGAAAGCTCATTGCTGGAAAAAATTAAAGCTATTATGAAGTTTTCTGAAAGCACCATTTTAAATTTCTCCTTCAGAAGAGCAGCGCTTCAGCAGTGCTAAAGAACACTCCTATGAAGGACATGACTGATTTCCCAAATAGCATATGTCTCCATTCTATTATTAGGCTCTGGAACCTTCCACGTGTTCATGAGTCTTTTATAGGGCTTTTATAGATGTATCTATTACCGAAATAATAATTTTAATGCCAAATGGCCAGCTTTATGTAGATACCTATCCTCTCACCTGTGATATAAAATGGTTCCATTTTACAGATGAGGAATGGAAGCTGAAAGCCATACATAAGATTTGGTGCAAGAAAGTCCCATCTTAGGCTCAAAGTGAATTTCTAGTGGTTGCCATTTAGGCTGCACTTCTGTGCTCCCATACTTCAAAGTAAATCCTAATAAACTCTACCAGACATTCTTCAAGGAAAACACTGGTAGGGTTGGGCTGCTAGGTCCATTTTAAAAAAAAATTCTGACCAGCAATATATATTACACTGGTAGGGTTGGGCTGCTAGATTCGTTTTTAAAAAAAATTCTGACCAGCAATAGCCACCTTCACATGATATTAGCTTCATAAGCCAAGATACAGATAAGCCTTTTTCCTAAGCATGGCATCCCATTCACTCCTGAAATGAACCAAGATGCCTTCAATTCACTGTTACCCCATCTTATCCAGACTGAAAGGCTATGATTAACTGTTCCAGAATGAACCAGATTATTGAACTAGGTTTTGAAGTTAGCTAAATATCCAAGCCAAGGAGAAGAAAAAGCACAGCCTCCCAGATTCCACAACACCCAGACAAAATGTTTTGATGCATCTCAGCTGTAACTACCATAGCCATCCATAAAGAATCTTGAGTTTTGCAATCTAGCTTTATTTGTTTGATCACAGGTTGCTCATCCCTGTTTTATAACATACCTCACTAGATGAATGGCTCACACTTTCTAAAGGAACACTGGTGTCAAGCACAATTTCTTTTCTTAAAGGTACTTGAAAGATGGCGTGGTAGCTTTAGGTATAGCATCCTCTGTGCTTGCTTATTGCAAATCAGTGTAGAAGTGTCAGTAGCTTTGCACATAGGATAGAAGAAAGCAAACTGTAGAGTAGCAATATAAATCCTGGTGATGTAGCAAAGAAAAGTTGGGTAGAAAAAGTATGTGAGAACACATCCAATGCAGGTTGCAAGCACTGGTTGATTTCAAGAGGTTTAAGGCTATGATGGATTTCATTTGCCCAGTATCTTATCCATTTTGTAAAACAAAATTATATAAAGAATGATCTGAAGACAGATTTTAATGGGTTTTCATTAATTTCTTAAAATATATTGTGTCACCCAACTGCAACCTTTGATCAACTGATATACTAACAGGAAAAGAAAGATAATGAATGGAATGACACAGAGACACAGATTTGTCTCCCAGTACAGGACAGGTTTTGCCAAAGCTGTTAATATATGGTTTAAATAGATGCTCAGTTGAAAACCAGGGGCTACAGAAGTGTGATTAGGCAGTACTATGAAACTCTGGGCTATGAAATGCTGTTTATTTTAAATAAACAAAACTCATGAAGAAGAAAGTGATCCAGATCAGTTGTTAGCCAACTACCAAAGGCTGAGGAGATGGGGGACTATAGACATTCCATTTTTTTTGTATTACAACTTCACCATACCATTGACCACACTTATTTATTTTTTTAAAAAAATACTGGTTAGAATATATATTGTTGTGTGACAAAAGTTTTTTTTTTTGACAGAAGCCTAGTAGATGGCTGATCTAGTTCATAACCACAGAACAGGAAAGATGTCGTTGCCTATAGAAAGGCACTACTAAAAGCTAATCAATGAGTCTAAGATGGCTTCTAGGGAACCAGTTTCAAGATATGACCAATCCAGGTATTTACATTAGGAAATCAGTAGTTCCTGTGCAAATTTATATGTTTCTAGCTGTTACCATTTTGGAGATCTTCTGGGAGAAACCAGCTTTAAAAAAAATGTAAGGTGAACTTGGTGGATATAACATTTTGGAACAAATATTTTAACAGGTTTTAAGTCAGTCTCACTTCTGCATCCAGTTCAGGGAAGGGGGAGATTGGAGTTATCAGAAGCTTTGAGGGTGAAATGACACTACAGGAAGCAAACCTTGTTTCTCAGAACTTTTATTAAATGCTTACAAAACAGGTCCAGGTCAAAAGTAAAGGGGGGGGGACCATCAAAAGATATGGAAAATATTCTAGGCTCTTGAGAGGCAAGTTTCTAGTCTCAGGAGAACAGAAGCAGGATACAGTGACCAGTTTGCATTTGTAAACTAGGATAAGGCCAATAATATTCATAGTTGGCAGATTAAAAGACATTTTGGGCAGAATCCTATTGCTGACTTATGCTTGCGTAAAGGAAATCACATTAAGTCTTCATAGCAAACTGCTACTCAGTGAGAGATGCAGGTTGCATTCCTGGGCACTTACCCGAGCACACATCCAGGACTGCAATCATTACCTTGTTAACAAGTGACAATTTGTTAAGAAAGCTTACATAATTTCCTTTATGCGAGCATAAATTGGCAATAGGATTTTGGCTGTTGTATTTCAAGGCATGGAGGCCTTTCAGAGTCTACTCCTTCTTGCAAGTACTAGCAACCATTTCTTTAAAATGATTCTTCTCATGACTCAGTTTAGCTAGTCCTTGGAAACTGCCCTTCATCCCGACAAATATACCAGCTTGGTACCTTTTGTTTGAACTATCATCATGCCTACAGTGGGGCAGGAATATTTCAAGTACATTGGGCCTAAGGAGTGAATATGGCATCCATTGTCAAGATGCTTACCTCAGAGCATTCTTCCAAAGCAATCAGCCAAGTACAGCTTAGCTGAACAGTTTATGTCTACAAAAAGGGATGTTTATGCCCGAATGCAAGGCTGGCTCATGTATGAGCAGGTAGGTGAGGTGCCCTCAATGACTGGACTACAAGCTGCTAAGGCCTGAGTAGAACAAGGCAGTTTCTGGTATATGCACATGAACTAGCTATCAGATGTGAAACCAAAGATAATCAGAATCAGCTCATAGGGACACACAGGTACTTTGAAGAAAAATTTACTGGAATGAGTCTTAGGCTTGCCCTGATTACTTACACTGAATGAGCATGAGAGAAGATCCATCATATAGTCCAGTGGTTCCAGATCCTGGGTCCCCAGACATTCTCAGATTGCAACTCTCAGAAGCTTTCACCAATAGCTTGCTGGCAAGGGCTTCAGGAAGTTGCAGGCTAAGAAAATCCAGGGACCCAAGGTTAGGAACCACTGCCAGTCCATCTTCATGAAAGCATCAGTTTTAAGGCAGAACTCTTACCATAACTTATTGAATTACTGCCTTTATTCAGATGAGAAAACTAGGAATGAATTTTATATTATACAGGGAGAAAAAACTATTTTTAGTTCTCTATCATCTTCCCCCTTAATTAGGGGGAACTTCAGAAGCATAAGATGAAGCATCACCCCATCATCAAAATGCATCATCATTTTGAAGGCTCACATGGCAGAAGGAGGGTGAAAATCAGCTACAGCAGGTATGGGGGAACCTTTGGCCCTCCAGATGTTTCAGACGACAGCTCCCATAACTCATTACCATTGACCATGCTGACTTTGGCCTCTGGGATTTGGTCCAAACCATCTGAAAAGACAAAATGTTCCACATCCCTGAGCTATATGGCTATTAGGGTTTCCCCCAAAAAAATCCCTTGGTTTAACTTTTATTTTCACATTTGTCTCCTTGTCTTTCTCAACACTGAAAAGGAATTTACTAATACTGGCTTGTTCCCCCTTAGTTAATGATATAGTAAAGAAAAAGGCTTGCCCATTTCTTCTAGCCAAGCCTAGAACTAAATGCAGAGAATCAGAAAGTCACATTAACAGCACACAATTACCCAAAACAGAACAAAAAGCCAATCAAAAAAAAATTATTGCTGTTTGTTGAGCTGATGCTGTGTCCAAGTCCCGATGAAGTCAGCTTGGAGACATGTACCCATTTGAGGTGCGAAAAATAAAAACAGTAGCTGGTTTTAAAGCAGGTTGTCGATTTGAGCTCGGAAGAGAAGACATCCTTGGAATAGAATTCCTTCTTAGCAGAGCAAACATCAGCATTACACAGACGTATTGCCTTCTGTATCCAAATGCGAATCAAACCCAAACTGTAAAACAAACATATAAAAATAGCATCAATATCATTGGAGCTAAACATAGTATTATCTAGAAATGTTGTCTGGTGTCTTAACAGCCGGGAGGCTACAGCTTGATGCCAGCATCTGTGCAGCTGCACAGATAGAGAGATGGTAAGAACTAAACATATATGTAAACTGCATCCCTCAAATGGACCCAGAAAAACAATGTCATGCATTTAAACAGATATACTGATCCTCTGGTTATATTGATTATCTGGCAATATAATTTCTGCGCTACACTGAAGTGCAATTTTTTAAAATTTATTTTTTTTCAACCAGGTGTTTCCCACCTTCCATGCCCTAAAGTCTAATGTCGTAATTAAGTGTTGGTATTTGAGTATGTGCATAGAACTGTGGGAAGAGAGGAAAAGACTGACAAAGAAATGCAGGAAGTTTCCATGTAATCAGATTGTTGGTCTGTGATGCACAGTATTGGGACTAGCAATTTGTGACATTTCAGATATGGTTGAGTTCTAACCATCATGGCCCCAGATCAAAGGGGTAATCTAACAACATCCTGATAATCATGGGTTGTCTATCCTTGCCAAACTGTCACTCTCTAAGTATTGTCTTATATCTCCCATCATTTTTCACCATTAGCTATGCTGCCTAGGTTTAATTAGAGTTGTGGTTGAATAACATCTGGCGGTCTGCACTTTGCACATCTTGGCCTACACCAATTAGCAGAAACTCACTGGGTTTGCTCAGCTTGAAACACAGAGATGCTAGGGATTTTTGCATCCAAACCATGAGCTCCACACTTGAACTATGACCCTCCTTCCTCACCACTACTACTATACCTTCTCCAAATAGAGGGGGCTGCATTGACCATAAATGTTTTGTGTGGTTGAGAAGGGGAGAATCAAAGTTCTGTTATGAAAGGATGACTTTTCCCTTCAGTGTATAAACAAACCCCATTCAAAATAATTTTCCTAACCTAGCATAAAAACATTGGGGTGTGGACAAGGTTCAGAATCAGTGGGCTAATATAATTTTTAAAGACAGATGAGTTCTCCCCAGATCTTTACAATTTCATGTCAGAACTTCCTCGCATTCCCTGTTTAGACAGCAGTCTGCTGATAAAACAGAAGAGGAATCCAGACTTTATCAGATCACACATTCCAGCATCCCTTGTCATTTTGTTAGCCAGGATTTTCTAGCCTGAGGGAGTAAAAGAAACCTGTCTAATACTAATAATGTAATCTGCCCTGTGTCCGAGAATGCATGCAGAGCATGCCCCTGCTCTTCACTTCCAATGTCTATTCTTGCTTCTCAGCACCCATTGCTGAACACACAGCACACACAGGTGGGGGCTCAAAACAGCTATTTTCTACCCACACAGCTGCCAACAGCATCTGATCTTTGCCAGAGCAAAATCTCTCTGCAGGACGCCCAAGTTCACGGCTGGAGCCCAGTCCTACACCCTGCTTGCACAATTTTTTTATACAGTTTCTTTTTAAATCTTTTTTTCTCCATTACCCCCAAATAGTGTTTCTCAAATTGGTTTTCCATCATCAAGGGATGGATGTTTTCTACTTACTCCGTGAAGGAGTGTTGCTGTTCTTGTTAATCACCGAAGAGGACTGATCCTTCAGTTGGTGGCCCAAGAAGGACATGCCTGTCCTTTAGCAATACATGAAAGGGGGGGGGCACCAAAAAGGAACTTGTTTACGCTAAGTTAAAAGCTCTCTATTCCAAATGCTTGAATTTACAGCACTATGAGAGGTACAAGGAATAGCCAGCATAGATTTCCTTCTTCCTGTGGTACCAGAATAGTAATACAAACTGATATATTATAAGAGCTTGGAAGTAAGTAGCTACTGATAACCAGTTACTTGACACTCTTCCCCTACAAATGGATCACAATGTGATTGTACCTTAATTTATTCTTCATTAATTGCATTCCTTTTATGGTTTAACAATAACTCAGTGGTCCCCAAAATATTTCGGCATCATTCGCACCCCTTTTGATTTTTGAGAAATCATTATCTCTCCCCATCTGTACTTTACCATCATCCAACAACTTTCTAACAAAAGAGTGAACCCATTCTTCAAATTTAAAATAAATATAAAAGCTGGAAAAAATATTTTAAATTAAAAAAATAAGTGTTAAGTAGTTTCTCCTGTCACAAAAAGTTAAGAACATGTTCATACTGCTCACAAAATGATTTTTCTTTATGAAAATTTTGCCCCCTGTGGAATTTTTAAATGACCTCAGGGCATGCCCACTACTTCTAAAACAAGTGCTCTGAGGCAAGAAGCCAGCTTAAACACCAAGGACCCGTATGTCTCATTGACAGGTGTTGATACTTTTGGGGGCCCAGGTACACCAAAGGTGGGAGCAGAGTCTTCTTTGGCTCAAGTTATTATTTGCTGCAGCCATGAACATCACCACTTTCAATCAAATTTATGTCACACAAGGAGCTTCATTTTACCTCAAGCAGTTTTTGAACTTATTTAATCTACGGAATCCATTTCCCAAATTAATACATGTTCTGCAGTGGGTGTTGAGATTATAGCAAGGGGAATGGGAGGAGCATTTGTTTTGTACTGTAGCAGCATGTTCTTTTCAAGTATCTAAAAAGTAACCATCTTAATCTTTTTTGAGAAATAAGAAAATATTTACATCGTAAGCACTGTAGCTATGATTGCAACTAACTACTTTGAGAGACTTTGGGACTAGAATTACAAGTAATTAATAGAGTAACACACTCTTCAGATGCAATTTGTGGCCTAAGAGCTATTCTCTCTCTTTTTCCCAGTTACTTCAGAGAACTGTCCCTGAGAGCAAGTCATATAGGGGATCTCTAAATTACAATTAATTCCACTTTACATCCTGTGCTTTTACAACCATTCCAATATCAGCTAATGCCACCTCCCTATTCAGAACTATAAATGGAAACTTTTATGCTACCAAGCACAACATAGAGAGGAGGTGGAAGAGAGAGAAGAAAGAAGAGAACAGGATTCAGGGGAATATCCAAATATCCAGCAAGAAAGCAGGACAGAGGTTGTGAGGTGGAGATGGGAGAAGACAGCAGAAGTCAGATGGGAGTACCCAGGAGGTAAACGAGAAAGAGGAGATAGGAGAATACAGGTAAGGTTTCATTGATAAGGCAAGAGGATTCTCCAAAACTGAAACTCCAGTCTTAATACAGAGTTTAGTGGGGAAACAAAGTTTGACTTATAGTGAGCCATTTATATAGTTATTTATAACGTTTGCAGCCATTATCAGTGAACCAATCAGTTTGTAAACACAGAGTCACCTGTACAGTGGTGCCTCGCTAGACGATGATAATCCGTTCCACTGAAATAGCTGTTTAGAGAAATCATTGTCTAGCGAAAAGCATTTCCCCATTGGAATGCAGTGAAATCTGTTTAATGCGTTCCAATGGGGAAGAATCATCGTTGTCTAGCGAAGATTGGCCATAGGAAAGCCGCTTTGCCAACCACCGATCAGCTGTTTAAATAGCTGTCTTGTGAAGCTTAGATCCTGAAAACACCTGTTTTGCGAGGGCAGAAGGAGCTGTCAAAATCATCATCTAGCGAAAATTGGTTTGGGAAGCAGGGACCAAACACTGTCCAGCAAAATTCCCTCATAGGAACCACTGTTTTGCGAATTACTACAGCAATCGCAAAAAGTCAATGTCTAGCAAAAAAACTGTCATGCAAGGTAACTGTCTAGCGAGGCACCACTGTACCTTTACATACTAAACAGTAGTTGTGCTGGAAAAAGTGGAAGTTCATTTGTCAGCTTTTACACTCTTCTTTCAGAAAAAGCAAAAAGTAGAGAAAGTTAGTGAAATACTGTACAATGATAAATCTTGCAGAAGTAAAGAGACCACAGTTCTGCTTAGCCATTCTGCTGCTGAGGCACAAGTATCATGTTTCCTTAGATCTCACTCTTCTTTCCAAACAGAACAGATGGTTCTGTAGTTGCCACAAGGATTTCAAATTACTTTTCCATCTTGCAAGCTATTCCCTCTCCTATCCTGGCACTTTGCTCTTCTCAAGCTAGAATTATACATCTGACTGAATACTTAAATATGAACTGACACATTGTAGACCAGCAGTGTTCCCCAATGAAACAAAGCTGCTTGGCACCAGCTTAAAGGAAATGCTTGTTAATCCCCAGCCTTCTCACACTACCCTTGCTTAAATTCAGTTTCAGCTTGCAAGCATCCCACGCTATCCATGGTCCTTGAAAAGTTACTTGGCTGCATAACCACAATCACTTATAAAAATGACTCCTTTCAATAAGACCACACAAAATGCCAGTGGGCCCTTATTGTTCAGGCATGTGTGAAGAATTCAGACGAGAACCAAGACTGGGGGAGAGGGGAGCATGAAGAGAAGGATGTACAGATCCCCAATTCTCTAACACATGATCTTCAAGAAAGGTTAATGAGAGAGCCTCTACTAACCCTGGCTCAGAACATGAAAAATGATATTTAGCGCACACAAAGAAGTCTGGAGCTGAAAAACAAACATTCAGTCGCACAGATTTACAGTTTGGCAAGGTTGGAAGTGGAAGATGTAAACAAGTTCTCAGAATAACCACAGTAAGGATTTTATAGATTGAAGCCTGTCTATATATAAAGAAAGTGCAAGGCAGCTGGGGGACAGGCAAAGTTTTAAATACTAGTGCTGGGGAGAAAGCTTCTCCAATTATGTGTGCAAGCCCTTTTGCAGTGATACGGAAGGGGCACAGCCTTGGAGAGCATGTAGTCTAACCCAATGCAGCTGCATCATCCTTGAGCAACAACTGCCCGTCCTCTACTTAAATTCCCCCAGTGACAGGTTTTTTGCCCCTTAACCAGTTCAGAGAACTTTATTTTAAAGGAAATCTATTTCATCACTTGTTTGTAAGGTGATAAGAAAAGCATTTAAAATTTTTACATGCTTTAAAACATGTTGGTATGTATACTCACTCATAGAAGCATACCACGCTCTACCTACAGTTCAACCCCTGCCTAAGAACGTAACATTACAGACCCTGAAAACTATTTATTGGGATAACCACGACCTTACAGAGGAATGGAGAAAGCTGCCTTTTGCTGAGACCATTGGTCCATCTACCCTAGTACTCCTGGATTTCAGGCTAAATTTTTTCCTAGTCTCACTTTGAGATGCTGGGGATTGAGCCTGGCATTTCCTGCAAATTATGTGTTATGCCACTTTGTCACAATCCTGACACATTTGACTCAACAATGGGAAGAAGGGAAATTTGGGATTTTGAGGTATATAATTAGATGATTTGCAGTAGATCTCAAACTCCCAATCATTTCAACAATGGAAACAAAAGGTCTAAGTCTGGGTTAGTGTTCCCATTAGAATCCTTGATATGTAATAACTTAGATGTAGACTGAATCTGCTCATCTCAATAAGAAATAATCAGTTCTGGATTCATTATGTATGAATCGGCTTCTGCTAAGAAGTCATGGTTTAGTTAACAGCCACAAACTCTGGTTTCTTCAAACTGTAGCTTATTGTGACAAACTGAATTCACAGTCATGGTTTATCTCTGGCTTGTTTCCCCACCCTCAAGCAGGAATGGGCCAAATGTTAGGAGGTGTGTCCATCAGCAATGAGGAGAACATGCAATTCATACTGGACAAACCATGACTAATACAATTTACTATTACAGTGGGGTCTTGACTTAAGAACGGCTCGAGTTAAGAACATTTTGACTTAAGAACCGCTCTCATAGGAAAATATTGACTTGACTTAAGTACTCAGATTTGAGTTAAGAACTGGAAAAAAAAACCACGTGGGAGGCAGGGAAAGTGCAAAATATGAATTACAAACTACAACTTACTATTACAAGCAGGTATACCTTTGAGTTGCATCTAATGCATGGGCTCATAGGGTGAAACAGGCAACAAGCTGTAATTTTCCAATAGACCTTTTCAGCCTAGTCATTGTGGGGGAAACCAAAGTAGACACTGCGGACCCTAGATCCCTATGCACTCTGGCATATTAGGTAGTTTATGTCTACCCATTCTGTGTCTTGATCAGATGGGAAAAAATGGCTTTATTTATTAGCACTACTAAATTTGGATGGATGCTACCTTCAGCATCATTAAGAAAAAGATACGCCCTTTTAAGGAACCATTAATTAATTCCTTGAATTGGACACACATACATCCTCCTGAAAGAGGGGGAAATGCACAAATTCTCTTTTAACTGTTACAAAAGCAGCATACAATCTGTATTCCATGGAAAAAGAAAGCAGTTTCTCATCTTCATGCATGACAGTCATGCAAAACTGTTGCTTTTGACTTGAGAACCGCCTTCCAATACGGATTAAGTTCTCAAGTCAAGACCCCACTGTACAAGCAGGTATACCTTTGAGTTGTGTCTAATGCATGGGCTCATAGGGTGAAACAGGCAACAAGCTGTAATTTTGCAATAGACCTTTTCAGCCTAGTCATTGTGGGGGAAACCAAAGTAGACACTGCGGACCCTAGATCCCTATGCACTCTGGCATATTAGGTAGTTTATGTCTACCCATTCTGTGTCTTGATCAGATGGGAAAAAATGGCTTTATTTATTAGCACTACTAAATTTGGATGGATGCTACCTTCAGCATCATTAAGAAAAAGAGACTCCCTTTTAAGGAACCATTAATTAATTCCTTGAATTGGACACACATACATCCTCCTGAAAGAGGGGGAAATGCACAAATTCTCTTTTAACTGTTACAAAAGCAGCATACAATCTGTATTCCATGGAAAAAGAAAGCAGTTTCTCATCTTCATGCATGACAGTCATGCAAAACTGTTGCATGCTGCCATTTAAGTTACAGCTGAGCCCTGCTACCCAATAACCTTGTTAGCCTCAATTCATGCATATGTTCCAACAGGGCAGAAACTGCTTGCTCATGCAGGTGGGCAGCAGATGCTTTAATGTGAGGCACATGCAGGAGCTTTGTGCATCAAGACTTGCCACAAACTCAAAATCATGGGGGCGGGATGGGGTGGGGGGGGTTAGGAGCAGCTCCGTGTGAGTAACATGTCATACAAGCACGACTCCAGAGCTGCATTTTCAAGCAGCTCCCAGCCCACTGGATTGCATATGCATATCAGTCTTAGAAAAAGGATATTTGCGGAAGGAATTCTGCAGAAGGTGTTCCCTGGACCTCTTTGCCAACACCAAAAAGTCCCACTTCTAAAGGAATAATTACCTTCTACTGAAAGGCAAACTGCAACCTACACAAAATGTTGCCTGAACCACTTGTACACATTCAAGTGGAAGCATCTGTTCTCCATATCAATGGCTGAGGATACAAATAGTTTACAAGTAGGGCTTTTCCATCTTGGTAGATGCTTTCCTTCTCCCCAGAGGAGCTCCCTATCAGCTGAGCAATGCATTTTGGCTTGAAGACCACAGCAGCTGAAGTAAGCATACAGATCACCAAGGAGACACATGGAGGACCCGATAGCTCTGGTGAACTTTTACAAGCGACACACAACACCGTCTACTGCTAGGAGCTAAAACTCAATTTATACCTCAGCTTCTTTGCTCTCATGTTGCACACCTCACCTTTAGCTGACTTGTGGTTTGCATCACAACAGAGCCGGGCCAGTCACCATTCCTTAAAAGACTCTTTGGAATAAAATTAGGCCTAAGCTGCACATGACAGGGGCAGAGCAACATTTTTTTAAAAAAAATCTGCCCCCCTACATATGAAGTGTGTGGAGAGAGGGGTGGAGAACAGGATTTAGAAGCAGAGAAGGAAGCAGAGTGTGAGGGCTGACCCAAGACATAGGGCTGCCTGAGGAAATGAGAAGCTGGCACAGGTATGCAGCCATTCCATGTACAATGAATCTTTCTTCAGCTGTTATGGCAGGATGGTGTCCTCTGGTGCACTCAGTGGCAGCAGGCCATCTTAGGGAATGCAGGACAAGCTGCCAGGCACGCACACACATAGCCCTTTTCTCAAACACTTTACTGCCTTTCCACCTCCAGCACCTGCTGCTTGATAACAGCTGCCTTACTTCACCTAGTGATAGGATATCACTGGGTGAAATAAAGCAACTTCTAGTATCCTGGGAGCCCCCCTGGAAGAAGACTGCCTAGGAACACATTTGGGAAGTATGTTAAGGAGAGCAAAATACTCAACTGTTCATCACCTTTCATGCATCAATCAAATGAAAGGGGTCCACACCCAGAAACAGGCAGTGGGATGACTCCAGTAGTCCTATGTCATCCAATCATGCAACTTCTTCGATGCCCGGCCCAATGTCCATGCACTGAGGATGGATAATGGGGTTGTCTCCTTGATCACGTAGATCTTGTAGGGAAGCAAAACCCAGACATGTTTCCCCTTCTGAAAACATCCACATTCGGTGAGTAGAGATCAGTGGCATGGCATTAAGGACTTACTGCCCTTTTCTGTCTGCTGACCTCCTTCATGTGGTTAACATGTGAAGGGGGCCAGAAAACAGAAGAAAGAGTCCCATTTGCCCATTAAGTACCTAAGAATTTTAGCCAGCTAAGAGCTGGTTTGTGCATCTGTGAGCACCACATCATCTCCTGATTCAAATATATGACCTATAGTTGCTTGTACAGACCAACTGCATCAAAGAGCATTGTATTTAAGGTGCTGCAAACCATTATTGAAGTTTTCATGTTACATGTGGGGTGGCTCCCTCATGTGCTAAACATGCCTGTGGAACCCAGCTTTGAGATTTCGCTATTGTATACATTTGTTGCATTAACACATCAAGTTGGTTTATTCCCCTAGTTACTTTAATCTTTTCAAACAGCATTTAGGTCTATGAATCTTGGCTGGTAAGTCAGTGCTTTGCTTTGGCCCATATAAAGTCACGGTCAAAAATATTGGCACCCTTGTAATTCTATCAGAAAATGCAAACCTTCTCTCAGAAAATTGTTGGAGTTGCAAATGTTTTGGTGCTCACATATTCATTTCTTTGGTTTGTGTTGGAGGAACACAAAAAAAGAGAGAAGAAAAGTCAAATCTGATACAATCACACAGAAACCCAAAAAATGCACTGGCCAAAATTATTGGCCAGAATTGCAAGGGTGCCAATATTTTTGGCCATGACTATATGGCTCAAGTTTGAAACCTGCATCTTTCTGAGGCTAAATCATTGTGTGATATCACGGGCTGGCAAAGTATGACCTGTAGATTGTTTAAGGCTTCCAAGGCCATTTTGGCCCCATACCACTCCCTGAGCCCCTAGATCTTCCTTTTCCTCCTACTAGGAAAAAAATCTGGAAAAAACACACACACATTTTTGCAAGTGTGCTTCTGGAGGCATTCCTAAACTGTATTTGTATGTTTTTGCTTTTAAACAATTTTCCCCGACAGATGCACAAAATTCCTATAAACAATATTCGGGGAGGCAAGTCCCCCCAAACCATAAAGCAAGCCAAAGAAAGAGAGAGAGAGAGATGGATCTCAAATAGTTTTGGCTATTTTGTCTGGACCTGCTGCTTCTTGTAGCAGTACGAGAGACAGAAAATACAGCCCCTTAGTCTGAGAGTGTGTGTTATGTCAGCAAGGGAGAAAGAAAACTGTTTTGTTTGTTTATGTGTTTCTTTGTTTTAGGGGGCTAAAATGCTGATAACCGTAACATCTCCCCATGGGCCAGCTTCCCTCCACCCACAGACTCCACCCCCTCCTCTTGCTCCCAAGCCTGGAATGGACAATCTGAAACTACAGAGACTCTTGAAGAAAGCAGCAAAGAAGAAAGCAACATTATCAGCCCAGCAAGGCACAGCATTCCGGTCCAGCTTGTCCCCTGTGAGTGAAGCCAGCCCAGATTTGGAGCACAACAACCGATCTTCCCCACTCAAGCCTGTGGAAACCCACACCCAGATCACCATTCACCTCCCGCCCCGCTTTTCCATCAAGCCTATTGCCCACCATGTTTCATCTCCCTTTCCTAAAGGAAAGCCCTTTATGTTCACAGTCACAGAGCAGAGGAGCCTTTCAGAGCATCTCAAACTGGCCACCTCACCTGCAGTCTCACCACTTCAGAGACAGAGCACTCCAGAACCTTCATGGCAGCTCAGAGGCCACCCACCAGAGACACACAGAGAGCCACCTCCTCCAAGCACGGCACAGTCCACATTTGTTTTCCCAGAACATCCTGTTCCACCCATACCTGTGCAAGAGACCCCAGTGCCAGTGATCCACGTTGCTGAAACCCATGCTTATATTCATAGTGTGCAAGCGCCAAGGGCTAAAACCCAACTGTTAGAGCAGCCAACAGAATTCCATAGTTATGAAGACAGGCCCACAGATACCCATTCACAGACAAATCATCCACACCCACCAACAACACATTTTGTTAGCCCAGCCAGACCAATTACTCCTGTGTTAGATGTGACTTCATCCCCTGAAACTCCTGCCAGGACAGTGAAAACTGAAATACTTCATGTGCCTGGGCAGCGTACACTAGTCACCTCCCCAACTCCTCAGCTCCATAGACCCATGACGCTGGAAAGCAGCAGAAGCTTAGAACTCCATAGTGAGGCCCAGAGGCAGCCAAGTCCTCTCATGCATCAGAAGCACGTCACAGCAGAGGAAGTTACACCTGGTCCAGTGGTTGCCAGCAGACATGTGCCTTCACCAGAAGCTAGGGCGGACAAGCAGGCTGCACCACCACAGCAACCTGCTGCTTCCCAGAGTACCACAAGCCCCTTACCAAAACCAAAGCCACCAGTGCCTCCTAAAACTAAGTTCAGTGGCTGGTCTCGCCTCAAGAAGCACTTGATTGTAGAATCTGAAGACCCACAGTTTCCTGTCCCAGAGTCTTCTGAGGCAGCTAAGCCAGAGCACATGGAAGAAAAAAAGACGAGAGAAGAACCTCAAGCTGCCCCTGGTCTGGAGAAGAGAGTAACCAAGTCAAGAGCTATCAAGATGTGGGATGCCATTTTATACCAGATGACAACCAGAAAGGCAAGAGAAGAGCAAGCAGAAGAAAAAGAAACAAAGAGGGAGGGAATATTCTCTTTCCGGCGACGTTTGCCCCTTATCCTCCATCGACCACGCTTTGATGCACGGAAGCTTAAGGAGCTGGCTTCCAAACCTATGACAAAGATCACTACTATGTTTGAGGTACGTCGTATCCAAAGCAAGCCACCTGAAGAAACCCTGATAAGTTTTAATAGGACTGCATCTGGGTGGCAGTTGAAAGGAAGTGGTGAATAAAACCTGTGGGTTATAATTGTTTTCCTTTTGTTTTTGGAGGATGTGTGCCAAGCTGGGAGGGTTAGAAACAAATGCAAAATCTACCAAACCTGAATCACTTGCAAGGCCAATATTAATTCTAATGGTGCTAATAATAAAAATTCTTTCACAGGGTTGCTGTCTGTGTATTTAGAGGTGTGCATGTGTTTAGTAACCATTTTTCAGCGAGAGAGGTGCTAAGAGTGATATACTTCACTACTGTTTTCCATATTTTCAGACTGAACAGAAAATGTATGAAACAAAGTGGCCTGCTAAATGTCAATAGTTTAAGCTGTCTCGCAAACAGCTTTATACAGTTAACCTAACTATATAGTATGGATTTCTTGAGATGTCACATTAAGCAGAGTAAATGTATTGTGGAAAAATTACCTATAGGCCAGTTTTGCCAAACCTATCCTACCCTGTATGCAAACATGCAATTTGTTCTGTTTAAGATGGAATTGGATGTTCAGGATGGAATGTTAGGATGGATGTTTAGGATGGAATTGGCTATTCATTGTGCAAAAATTATATCACCTTGTCAAGTCACAACTCATCACTGCTCAAGCAAACAGATCCCCAGCACAATATAAAGCAGGGGTATAAAATGTGTAAACCCTGGGTCTTTTTAGACTTCAGTACCCATCATTGTTTGGCTCACAACTAGAGATGAGGGTATTTGTATCCGAATACCCTCACACAGGTGGACATAACGAGGGACATAGCTGTCCACTCACCCATCCGCTGCTGCAGCCAGCTCTGTGCTCCCTTCCAATCGCTCCAGAGCTCACAGTCAACTAGCCACTCCTGGCAGAAGGAGGGAAGACAAGCCTCCTTGCCAGGCTGATGAGTGGCTAGTCAACCTCCATCTCCAGAGCGATTAGAAGGGAGTACAGAGCCGGCTGCAGCAATGGATGTGTTAGACCCCCTTAGGGGGCCGGACTCTCATTATGGCCACTCTCATTATATCACAACCAGTGATAAGAGATAATGGGAGTTCTAGTCCAGCTGCCTTGAGTCCTTTGAGGTGGGATAAAAATATTTTAAATAAATAAAAGAAACAGTCATCTATGGGGCAAAAATTACCTACTGCTGATACAAAGCCATCACCATGCATGGTGTTGCATACCCTGCTGTACTCTTTAATGAAAAATCTCCTTTACACTTTGTCCAGAAAACAAACAGAATTCATGGAACAATAGTCTTACCATGCTGCCTTATTGTTTCTGAAAATCTGTTCTCATATGGAATCTCAGTCTAAAACATATTAATTCTTGCAAGTGAGAATTGGCAGCAACCCACCAAGGCTTCCAGTAATGTAAATTTGAAGAAATAAGCATGAGAAGATGCAACCGTTTTGATTTAGCATCAGGCATTTAAAGCCAGCAGCTAGTTCTACCTAGAGTAAGTCTATTAAGGAAATAGTTGATTTACAATTCTGCAGTTAAATCAATAAATATACTCTGTTTTCAACTAATAATCAGATTTAGGTTTTAGGTGTTCTTCAACATAATGCACATCAAGTACAAGAAAGCCAAATCAGCAATGATTTAAGTAGAAGATTTAAACTAGCTTTAGAGGCTAAAGACCTGGAGATCTTTCTTAATGGTTTACTTGATACACAGAACTAAAGAACATTAGCTGCTATGTTTCCTTGGATGGGTAAAGTACAAAAATTTCCAAAGGACTCTAATGCACCCATTCACAGATTGAGCACCATGCACCCAAATAATCTGGAATATAAATATATTTTAAACACTCTGTTATCCAGGCCATATAGGACTACAGAGGGAAGCATCTTGAATTGTGCGCACACAAACATTGAGATGTCTCAAAAAGGTTCTCTAAGACCCATCTAAGCAAAAAAGTTGATAGTGGCAGCATATTCTGAACACTAAAGATTGTTCCATATGAAGCACACTGTAATAATCACCAATGATCAGTTTGGTGATAGCAAGACATAGAATGATCATGTCAAAATCCTGGTCATCTAGAAACTGAAATACCAGAGGTATATACCAGATAGAGTGCAAACCAGAAATGCTCTGTACTGTATGTATGTATGTACTACTTTGTCACTCTGAGCCTAGCTGGTGCATAGTTGTAGGCAGTTTTCATTGCCCAGAGGCAATCAGATTAAGAAGTTTTACAAAACTGTATTTTTATATACTCATTAATGACTAAGTACAAATATGTTGGTTCCTAGCATTCTTGCATTTATTTGTAGCAGTATACTACCAAACATCTGGCCCATGTTCTACTGAGAAACCACCCCTGCAAGCACAGGAGGCTTATAACTTTGTGCATATTTTCCTAAGACAAGTTAACGAACCAGATGGCATGTCCTAGCAATCAAACAGGTTTGCTTCAAATGTTGTATTCTCTCACTCATTTGGGAGAAACCTGGCAACATACATGGCAAAAAAACAAACAAGGATTCATGCTTTTTATCCATGACCATGACAAATGTGACCACTGTACCATTGAGCATAGATTTTCCACTATTTTCTAGTTGTGTCTCTTACAGATATTTGCAAAACGTAGGTATCAACTATCAGAAGGACAGGTAAACATGCAACTGTCTTCAAAATTCAGAGACAGAAGACTCAGACAACTCTGAAAGTGAATTTTTAGTCATGTTCAAAACAAGACTGTCTTTAACCACAGGTCTGTGCATATCAATTTTTGGTATTAACAGTACTCCTTGCTACAATTATTGCCATCACCGAAATGCCTGTTATTGTATCTATGTAGTTTTTCATTCACACTTCCATTTCTCTATACAAGTGTGAGGCTATTCATTGTTTGGGGGTGAACTGATTGCATGGAGAACAGCAAATGTGCGTGCCAGATCACATGGTTATTAAATCTGAAGTTTTGCTTGTTTAATCCTAGCATTGTGTTAGAGAATCATCAACAGTCAGTTCACAAAATGTATTAGTCTATTAGAAGTAAGTTGCTAACACTGTTTTGAACCAAGGAAAAGTGGCAGTTTTATGTGCTTCGCAACGTTCTTCATATCTTTGGTTTGGTCTTATTTTTGCAATTCCTGTCCTAACCTTGAGCTCACTGACAATTTTAAAACTGTGCTCAGGCCAGTGTGTTTTGCAACATCAGAACCTTTTTTTAAACAATTTTGTTCTCCACTGGCATTGTTACGCAAAACAAATTCCTGCTATTTTTCAGAAGAACTCGTTGTGCTATTTAATAGCACCACTGGGTAAAGCAAGGCATCTGTCACAGTGAGTCACATGCAGCGGCATTGTTCCCTGGCTGAGTGTAGCCATTTTGAATGTGCCAGAAGCAGCAATGGAGAGAGCTGCCCAACTTCTCCCGTTTTTCACAAAAACTCAGGCCCAGCTCTCTTCCAAAGTGCTCCAACTCAGCTGGAGAAGGACAGTTACTTGAAAAGTGACTAGGTGTGAGCTTCATATACCCATTTTATAGCAAGCAGCAGTTGCAGTCCTAGCTTTTATCACTGTGCTGATTCTTTGAAGAGTGTGAAGTGAATTGTGTTTTCTAATCTGTTCTAGAGCTTCTCTGCCCCTTTTGTATTTATCACAGAAGAATGAGGCCACCTCACCATTTGCTTTTCAGGGGCAGAGAGCAAAAGCCAAAAGACTTGGCTCAGCCTTGCGCAGCTTATCCCTACCTCCTGTTTTCCAAAATGCCAGCACAGAGGCTGCAAAAAGCCACTGAGGTTATTTGGGGAGGTGATGCAAAGTTTCTTTAAATTTTTTCCTTCGGTTAATTTTTGTCCTGCATGAGCAGAACTCTAGGCTCCCATGCTGCAAGAAGTACATCAGGGAAGGGCAGGTTTTGTAGAACAGTAAGAGGTAAAGGGGCAAACAGCTCCTCACAGATTCATTTTCTGCTATGCAAAAGATTGGAGACAAATTACCTATGACTGCACCATCATATGTAATTTGACTATAAGGCAGTTTTTCTGAGAAGCAGTCTTCTTTCTAGGAACAGTTTCCAGCAGAGGATTTACTAGTTTACTCCTTATCAGAAATAACCTCATTAATAGCATTGAAGGGTATTTTCATTGCTTGCCGTGTCCTAAATGGAATGTATGTGAGGGCAGAAGTAATAGTTCAAGATACTCTAACAAGAGGATAAGAGTCTGTTATTTCTAAGATTAAAGGGCCCATCATGCTTGCTCTTCCCTGCTAAATATAAAACATTATAACCATACCATTTGCACAGATAGAGTGATTCTTGAAAGGTATCTACTTGCCAGGCTGAGACTCTTGATTAAATGTATAGCACAGAATGGAAAGAGTAAGTAGTAATTAACCATCTATGCTTCGAATATCAGATGATCCTTTAAGAAATATTCATCGCCACTAAATACTGTGCGCTCTAGCTGTCACCTTTAGGCAGAACACAGAAGCCCTGATTTCAGATACATGCATTAACACCAAAGCAAAGCACCACGATGGTGGGAGTGGGGATACTTTATTCTCCCAAACCCATGTTTTTATTCATATGTGAATTGGAGACTGACTGATTAATAGACTAACAACAAATCAGCCCGTGTTCAATCCACAGCTGGCAACCAAAATAGTGATAGTACTACTAGGCTGAAAAGGCAGGTGAATGCATCTAGAAAAGGAGAGTGTCTCAATGCTTAGAAAAGCCCACGTGTTCTTTTAATAGTTTTGCATAAGGGAAATTGAAGCAATAGCAGCAATATATGAGCTAAGAATTCTTTCATATGCATTTGAACATATGTGAAAGGCTTAATGATTTTAAAGTCTTCCTCCATCTGATTTTAATTATCCAGCTTCTGAGGGTGAGGATGAAGATTTGGGCAAATGTAGCTAATTATATGTGTACCCCCCCCAGGAAGAATATTGAAGGATACCAGTCTTTCTGCTAGCCATAGCCACGTTTACTCATAATGAAAACAATTGTCTGGATCACTTAAGAGTGCAATTGGAGAAGTTCAATCAAGACTGTAAAAGAAGTTAAACTGTGTATGGAATGATAATACAAAGAGAAAGGTCCTAAGACAAATGAAATATTTTATGGGACCATCTGATAAAACATACTGTTCCACAGAGCAGGGAGCCTTCTTTAAAGTTTTTGCTCTGGACTTGTGTAAAGCAGACCTATTAGGAAGCAACTGCTTTAAGAGGTTTCAGGCCCTGTTCAGTAGTCCCTTCCTCTTTAATCTTAGTGTGAATGCATGGAATGTGTACTCTCCATCTTCTCCCCATTTTCAGAAAAAAAGGTAAGGCTGAGGCTTAAGACATGGAACTCTACAAAACAACAAAATGATCCTTTCATACCTATTCCATTTCAGAGCTAAAATTCAGTGGAAAGGTACATGTGCCCTCCTACATCATTTTATACCAGCAGTTACTTAAAAATCAGTAAGATCTGAGAGCATCATGCACTTTGTTACATAATTGGGAAGTACACCTAACTGCTGTAAATCTTTCAGCTTTAAATCTCACGTGGCAATGGATTATCACTTATGTCTGGGGATCCCCAGACGTATCAATATGTCTGGGGATCAGCTACGTGTTCCTCTTTAAAGGCAGGTGTGTAAGTCGAAGTTCAGTTTTTGAGTCAGTGTTCATAGACGTTCTTTATGAAGTGACAAGCTTGGCTGCAAGGGAATGCTAAACTATGAAAGGATATGCAAGTTGAGATGGGACTCCAAAGGTTTGGTAGAAGATGGACAATGACAATATTCTGAGGCAGTAACATGGAACACAGAAAAAGAGAATGTGTGTTAAGTAATGGAAAGGTGTAAGCTAAGATGTCATGAGGAAAGGGAAACAGTGTGACAGGATGGTGCCTGAGGGCCTCTTTCTGGACCTTTAAGGACTAGGGGCTACAATCCTGCAGCAACTTTTAGAGATTTCCTTCCACAGCCACAAACAGTCTGTACCCTCAAGATGCATTTCCTATAAAACCCAGCTGCCTGGATCGAGAGGAGCTTCTTCAATATATCTATATCTGTATCTATATCTAAACATTGTAAATATTGACTGAATAAAACATTTCTATGTAAAAAAACTTAATTGCTGTGGTCATGAATAGAAGGGTCAGACATTGCTGCTAGAGAGCTGATATCCATGCTTTTTCTGCCAAAGAAATCCTTCTCCCTGGTGCCTCTATGCTACCAACATTACTACTTCTTACATACTGCAGGAACAACAGCTGGAGTCAAGGGCCCCTTAAGAATGACATTCAAGTCACAAGGAAAAACCTTTTGTTTTGTTTGAAGTGTAATGAAGGCCAGTAAAATTAATTACAGGATGGAAATCATCAGTACATGTGCAAGAATGAATGAATGAATGAATGAATGAATGAATGAATGAATGAATGAATGAATGAATGAATGAATGAATGAATAAGAAAGCACACAATCAACATACCCTATGGATAATCTACATTCCTCAGCTCCAGCCACCACACACAACATGGGTGCAGTAAGCCTGTTGATACATTTCAGCAAATGATTGCTGAAATCAATGCAAAAGGGACTTTGAGCATTTAGAAAGAGCACTAAATGGCTCATCTGTTTCACTGTGACTGAGCCACTTCACTCTACCTACCTGTAGGTGTTGGGTACCTAAGCAGGCTACTTCTCTTTTTCTTCATCATCTTCTATCAATACCTTTCTGTATTGGCCATGTCCAATTGCCACATACTTGAACTTCTTGCCAGGAAGCTTCACCTAAATGTGAGGAAAGTAGTGCCAGCGCGGTCAGTAGTTGAGCCCGATGTAATGGCCCTCTTGCAATACCACAATTTAAACTACTACTCAAATTTAAGGTTTCACGTTTCATCTAACAGAAGACAGATGAAGAACCTCCAGCCCACAGGAGAAATTTGACCAACCAGGCTGACCCACCCAACTCCACAGAGCTTCAAGGAAGCCTTACAACTTCCCTACCCCAAGAAAGAAGGGAATGGGAGGGAACCAAGCTACAGCTTTGAGGCTGTGGCTTGGCCATTTCATTCCTAAACAAAGCTCGACACGCTTAGCTACTTGAGGAGACAATGGGTTGTGGACAGTGGGACTCAGCCACCTTCTGAACCACCAAGAAAGTGGGCTTTGCTCCTCCCTCTATTTTGCCCATAGAAAGAAGGTGTGGAGGGAGCAAAGCTCGATATGTTGATGGGACAATTCAGTAATTATGGCCTTCAGGACTCGGCCACTTCCTAAAGTGCCAGATAGAAGTATTTTTTTTTTCTTTCCATGAAGGGAGGGCAAATGAGAAAGTAAAGCCAGGGCCTCAACCAAAGGGACCCACCAGCCTAGGACCTAGTGATGCGGCCCTGCCCCCCAGTTATCATCCAACCCATGAAGTGGCCCAGTTTTTCTCCTGGGTTTCTCTCACGCAAAGTGACTCTCTCACCTTAGGAGTTGCATCTGCCCTTCGGCTCTCCTTCTGTTCCCAAATGCTTCTCTTATTCACAATGTCTCCAGGCACAATGTCCTAAGGGGAACATAGGCACAGTGACTAGGTTTTAAAGCTTTAACCCAGCAGATCACAAAAGATCAAGATTCTATATTCTGACCCTATTTAATTGAGAACATTAAATAGATTCAATGCAAATATTTTCACTTAAGAGCCATAGATAGCACTCAACCCTCACAATAGGCAGAACCTATTGCAGCAGCAAAGATTTGGAAACACAACACAGACCCTCACAATAGTCAGAACCTATTGCAGCAGCAGCAAAGATTTGGAAACACAACACATAGGAAACACAACACATCTTGGAGGTCCTACCTTACAAGATGTCTTCAGAGGGGACAGAGCCACTTCACCTGTCTCCCACAGAGTTTTTGTACTGGCCACAGCTGCGCTGTTGGAGGGAATGTCAATAGAAAGCTGGCGCACTGGTTTGGGAGTTTTGCTGGAAGACTGAAAAGTGGATACACAGGTGTGAAAGCACTGTTCACTCTGGCCACACCAAACATTATTCCACTGGTGATGCTCAAGGGTGGACAACTTTGTTGAGCCTGGAGACTCAATTTTCACCTCCCACTAAGGACCACCTATGGATTACTACAGGCCCTGCCAAAAGCAGGGGGAAGAAAATCCAAACTGGAAGTGAAGAGGTATCACCTTATGGTTTTCATTTTGGTAGGAGCCAAGGTTTGAAGGAGCAGCAGCCTCTCCTGTGCAAAAAAAGTACTGCCCCTGGAGGGCTCCAGGAACAGAAACAGGAACGTGGTTTTTTGCATGGAGGGGCTTTAACTGCAACGCAATTTGGCATACTCTCGAGGCCTCCTTGTACAACTACTGAACACAAGGTAGAAAAGGAGGGTGGGAAGCACCAGTACAGGTTGATTCTCAGCCTGTGATGAGCTGGTAATTCAGTCCCAGGACTCCTGACTGCCATGAATAAGCATGGCATTTGCAGCAGCATGCCAGAGATGGAATTCGATGTATGGGACAGAAGCAGAACTTCCAACTAGCTCACCAACAGTTTAGAAGCTAAGCTTTCTAAAGCAGTTACCACATTCTTTAAAGCCTTCCTTAAGAACTATGAAATGTGACATTTGGGAAAATAGCATTCTGCACTATAGTCCCCATGGTATAAACACAAAGAGAATCACAGGGCCAGAAATTGATGGCAGCAGCACAATAACCAACCTTGCCCCCCCCTTCAACATGATTAAAGCCCACTAAAGGGAAGAATCAATGCATGCACCCTCAGCACAGCTTTGCAAAGCACCTTCACACAACCTGCTCACCTCAATGGCATGAGTGTACTGCTCAAGCTTGTCATCTATCTTTGAAACAGGGAGAGGTGAGTGTGTCTTCTTCACACTGTTGCTGGAAGAAAACCAGAAAAGAGAGCTAATCACAAACCTGAACATTTCCAAATGATCGTCACTGTCACTCTGCAGTCAGTATGTTCAGTGTTCCCCCACCATTTGCCAACTACAAATGCAGGAGCAGGCAATACCTTTATAGACCACTAAAAAATAATAATAATCACACAGTGTGCGAGCTTTCATGGATCAGGACCTCTTTGTCAGGCATGTACCATTGTGAAGAAGTCCGAAAGTTATTGGCAAGATGGATTTTGCCAGGCATGTCTTTCTTAGATTGGGCTGTTGTTTTACAGATGAGGCAGCTGTGGATTGGATATCACACCCCAGTTCTTCAAACAAAGAGGCACAGACCATCCACACACGCAAACCCCTTCCCATTTGCCAACTGTTTCTGAAAAATGCTACTTTATATACAACATCGACCAGAACAAACTTCAGCATCTGTTGGTCTTCACTCTGGATAAGATCCTGGATATTTGATTAAATCATGGTTCTGCATGCCTATTAAGTTTTGGTACCAACAGAGCAGGATGCTTTAAAAAAGCACTAGTGAGGCCCTTTTCCCATCTTGTTAGATGTGAGAGTTAGACAAAAAAAAAAAAATTTGATTAAACCATGGTTCTACATGCCTATTAGGTTTTGGTACCAACAGAGCAGTATGCTTTAAAAAAGCACGAGTGAGGCCCTCTTCTCATCTTGTTAGAAGAGAGACGTGAGAGTTAGACAAAAAACCTGAACCACAGCTTGTTCACTAAACATAGCGTTCTATCTTGGCAAGCTGAACACAATATAAGATATCCAAGTTTCTGTCCAGTGGTTTATAGTCCTCTTAGTTCACGAAACATAGCGTTCTACCTTGGCAAGCCGAACACAATATAAGATATCCAGGTTTCTGTCCAGTGGTTTATAGTCCTCTTAACAGGTAATTTTTTAAAAAAATGTTTTTAATGGTTAAATATTACTGAACACATCCAGAGAAAGAAGAAATAAAGAACATCTTTGTACCCAAGATCCATAAGATCAGCAGATGCCATAATTGTGGCAGCAGGTTATCTTAAAGATCACTTACACTGCTTTGAAGCTACTTGCATCTTAAGAATGGTTCCAGAGTTCCTGCTCAGAGGACTGCCATCTATTAAACTACTGGACATCAGGATAACCTTTCTAGTGGTGGCTCCAAATTTCTGGAACTTCCTCCCAAGTACAAGAGCCAATGCATGTGACTCCATTATTACATTCTAAAAGAGGGCTAAACAACTTATTTCACTATTTTTCTATCTGTAGTGTTGAACTGTGTTTTCTACTGCCTTTGTTTTTGTTTTTAATTTTGTAACTGAATTAAACTGATTTTGGTTTTTTTAAAAAAATTGTTTATATAACTCACTTGGAAAAATATTATCCTTTGCAGTATCCTCCTCAACATAGTTACAATGAACTAATTGAAAGTTGCACAACTACTTCAAAGCTTTAAGAAGATCTGGGATAAAGGTACCTTTTTTGTACAGAGCGGTTCAGAGATTCAGTTCTGTCAGTGATCTAAAGAATAGATACAATAGGTTTAGCAGTTTAGTCAGTAGATCAAAATGTAGATGCATCTTCCCAGCTTCTATCAAGCAACAGGGGATATACATTTCAGTTATTTCCTATTCACAAGGTGAACGAAAACTTTAGAAAGTTGTTTTATTGCTGGTGAGATTCTAAGAGGTCTTGTCCCCTCCCTTCTTTGATGGGATATCTTATTGTACTGAGACATTTTTTTTTTCCTATTGAGGACAAGAAAATCTGTGAATATTTTTTTCAGTGCTTAGTCAACAGCATCAGGCTAAGTATGCAACTTTGGAAAGTGGGGAGAGAAAGCATACTGCTCTTTCCCACAATCCTGCATCCTTCTAATTTTTCTCTACTACCCACCCCACAATGAATAACACTTTTGTTTGTTAAATGTGTGGTTCTGCAGCATCCTAAGCAGTATGGCACATACCTTTGTTGTAGGGCTTAAAGGAGGCTGATACTCTTCCTCATTGCTGGAAGTGCTTGGAGCTCTTTGTCGTTTTTCTGGTGCCTCATCTTCCTCATCCCATCTTCTTTTCTTTTCCTGAAGAATTATATGGGTGTCAATTCAGTAGGCACAGCTAGCACATGAGGACACATGTGTTCACATCCTTCACTTACAGTCAACACAACAACGCAAGCTGAATAACACTGAGTATGTCACAGGTGGCAAAGTACTGCAGCAGGTCTGACCATAAGCCTTAAAGCAGTACACAGAGACAAATCAGCCTATAGCAATAAAGGGATGGACAAAGTCATTGCGTGAGATTCTGATCAATTTCATTTTTCTATCGTTACATTGGTTCCATCCTTCATCTCCATCAGTTTGTGAATTTTCCCCTGCCAAAGCTCTGCAAGGAAATGTAAGCATGTTTCTCCTAATGTATGTACTTTGGTATCCAATTTGCCCAGCCCACACATTAGGAGGGATTTTCCCCACTATAGTACCCCTTTCCCTACAGGGAAAATGCACATCATGTACTGTACTTTTGTTTCCACTTTTCCTTTCTACATGCATTATCTAATTTGCAAACTGCACTGCAAAATTCTGGGAAGTGTCAATGGACAGAATCCTATTGGTGTTCACATAGGGAGACTGGAGATGCCCCCTACAGTGTGGACCCTCCACTGAGAAAGGGGTTGTACTAAATGTCCACTGGGATCCCTTCCAAATATAATCCTATGATTCTGCTTTCTATTTATGGTTTTCTCTCCTACAGATAACACAGTGTAACTTGCTGTCGCTAATTGTAGCTCATTGACAATGTAGCAGGATACGTTTCAGTCATATGCCTGGTCACATGCCCAACCATGTAACTGAGATACTCTTTGGCACCTGGTCAATTAGCTGCAACAAGTTGGGCACACCTTATATGACTACCAATACAATCCTGGCCAATATTACTGTTCTGGTTCAGAAGTGTAAACTTGGTTAAGTCTGGCTTAAAATTGGGACTTAACGCAGCTTCTCATCCATTACCAACTGTATCACTGTTGTGCAGGAACTTCTTTGGGAGGGTGGCAGGTTATCTGCTTTTCCAGCATAAAATGGTGAATGAAATCAGAAACATAAGAGATTCTGTATTCCTTCAGATACAGGATTTGAGTTGAAGGGGAGCATCATATACTATTCACATACTGTACTTGATGCAGAAAATATATAACTACAGCTACTCAGCAGCCAGCTGGCTAGCATCTATCTGAAGACCCTGTCTGTGTGAGTGTTTGTAATCATAAACTCTTGGGGGCATTCTGTTTGTGAGAAAGAGCATACCTCCACAGCTAAAAGCGAGAGATCAGTTACGCAAATGACTTTTTAAACAGCATTTTTCCTTCTTCGGACTGACACTGCAAAACAGATGAATAGGTACATGAGCCTATGACTTTAGACTTTAAGTTAAGCAGCAAAGATCTGTGGATGTGATCTGTGGATGCCTGTAACTTCAAAAAAACCCAGCTGTCTGTCCTAATGTTAAAAAAAGAAATGTTAGGATTAAGCCCTGACTAAAACTCAACTCAAGGCAATTGAGATCAATTGAACAATCAGTGCATATTTTCCAGATGTTCCCCACTACTCCTTCTCCCCTTTATGATACTGCTCTTTAGTCCATCTTCCATACAATCCAGTTGGTTCCTTTTTTGTTTAGTCTGGTGTACAGCTGGACGTAATGAGGGTCCAGCCCCTGAAGCTGGACCATCCACTCATGCGTCCACTGCCACTGCCAGCTCCTCTCTCCCTTCCAATTGCTCCGGACCTCACAGTCAGCTACCCACTCCTGGCAGAAGGAGGGAAGACAAGTTCCCCTGCCAAGCTGTCAAGTGGATAGCCGACCGTGAGCTCCAGAGCGATTGGAAGGGAGAGCAGAGCTGGCAGTGGATGAATACTAATACCCCCATCTCTAGTCTGGGATGATTCTCAGACATCTGCCTGACCCTCCCTTTGGTTCTTTTTATTCACTTGTAGGGTGGATGGAAAACTTACTAAAGAAGCACTTCAAAGAAATATTAACTGGTTTCATCATATAGCCTCTTTTTGTGGCAGAAACTGAGCATACAAGGTGGGGAAGAAATAAAACAAACTATTCTGACCTCCAACTTTTCTTGCTCTTCACCATACTTATTCTCTTCTGGAATATCATGGATCTCCTCAGCAACATCTTCATTCACCTCGCCAACATCCTCATTCACCTCGCCAACATCCACTGTTCCACAAACGTTCTGCTGCTCCTCCAGCTCTGCTTCAGACTGATCTTGCGAGACAGAAGTTGAAACAAACTTGAGGAAGTTCGAAGGCTTGGGCGCAAATCGGACAAAGACTGGAGAGTCCTGATCCAGATGGACCTGCTCCAGTTTGTCTCCTGCTTCCCTCAGATTGCTGTCTTCTTCCTCATAGGAATGCCTGGGTGACCTAAGATTGAGAAATTAGCATGGGGGTTAGCAATGAGATATAGCCATGCGGAGATGTCTCAGGACATCAAACAGACACCATGACTTCAACATTGATGGATCACTATCCAACTGCTTTTGTAGTATTTTACCTGATGAAGAAATCTGGTGATTTTGAAAGCTTGCTCAACTTTTTTTGCCCTTTTGGAGGCCTAACAAAAGTATTACACTACAGTGAATTTCCAAGAGCATCTACACTGTGGAAAACATACTTAACAGCCAGATAATTTCTTTCAATACAGATTTCAGCAATATTAAAGGATATTGCAATTAAAATATTGGTCTACAGTCCTCCTAGCATTGTCTCCAAGTGTTCATGCTCATTTAATGCTGCTAAACATAAATAACCAACAAAAAAAACTGCTACAGTATTCTGTTTAATAGGGGGTGTGGGGCGGGGAGAGAACTATGTAATCTGAAGACCACATATGGCTTAACAAGGCCTTCTTCATGGTCACCAGAGATACACACAGCAGAGAGAAGAGATTTGTGCCTCTAGAGCAGTGGCTCCCAACCTTGGGTCCCCTGATGTTATTGGACTAAAACTCCCAGAAGCTTTCACCACTGGCTGTACTGACCAGGATTTCAGGGAGGGTGGGATTTTCTTATTAAATTATATTGCTCCCTTATTTTTTATTTTTATCATTATTATTTTGGAAAATAGCCACAATTTAAGAACCAGCTGGTGGTGATATGTTTCAGGGATAGAACCTAGCAGAAATGGTTTCATATATAACTCTGTGATCAGTTAAGAATTATTATTTGTTACAAGAACTGTCTGAAAATCCCAGGACGTAATAGATGAGTATTTAAAGTAACCCGAATTTAATGAATTAGAATTGGTTTGGCTGATCTACATTATATCCATGCAATGCATTTCAGGGTGAGGACACCTCTTCCTTCTCTTTCAAGGAGGAGGGATGAAACTGCACACAGTTTTTCTGTCTTGGGAGACAGGACCAGTTCAGGCCCAGAGGGCTGCAAGTTTCATGGTATCAACACTAGCAGGAGAGCATCTCGTGGAACACTATCATAGTCAAAATCTCCCAAGAACCAAAAAATATATATAAAAATTCAGTTGCTCAGCCTCATGTACTTTTTGTCCCTCAATCACTTTCCCTCTCCATCTCCTGAACTGAAGTACTTTTATGACCAGCTTGTCTATATTACGACTTTTGCACAAGAATGCCAAGCTGAAGTTGATTTAACCTGTAACTGACCCACAATGTCCATACCAAAGGCATCTGGAAATGTGTGTAGGCACCACAAGAAGTTGTGTTTATTCAGTTCCATCACACTGCTCTGAGGAGCAGCAGATGTTCCTACTAAAGCAGAACAAGGTACAAACATGCAAAATGGAGATAACACATTCTCAGTTACCCTAATAAATGCTGGTCGTCTGTTAGGCTTGATCACTCCCTCCCTTAATTCTACTAGAAATAAAATATGCACGTGTCTAAGAGTTGAGGATCATCATGACACTGTTTACAAAAATGCCAGAGCTGACAAGCCGGTGGTCTTCTAGATGTTGAGCAATTATTCTTCTCATCTTTTCTCATCACTGTGCAGGATGGCAGGCTGAGGAAGATTAGAATCCAGTACTTGGAAGACCACAGGTTGCCCAGATATGGCTTGTAGAGACCAGATTGAAGGGCGCAGTTGCATTGTCATGTGCAGAGCAATTACAGAAAGCAACATGGCAACAGTTACTAGAAAGGTATTGCATTTCCCACCCTTTCTGCTCATAAGCAAGCAGAGTATTCAGTCAGGACCCTAAAGTGAAGAATATGTGGATTCTAAAGCCATCATCTCCACCCAGTCCAGTGCCTCCCCTATGCTTGCAATTTACACAGCCAAAATTTTATCCATTGGGGCCTCCAAAGGGGATTAAGTCAGGGGAAACAATTAAAAGTCTCCTAACTCTCTAGGCAAGGCTCCTAATGTGAATTGGATCTTTTGTTTCCTATTGATTTGGAAACATCAAAATGAAGCTACACCAGAGTGACACATAATCTGACTATAACTCCTGAGCAGGAAAGATTATGTTGCCCCTTTGCATTTTGCCCCCACCCTACCCTACACCAACACAGCATTCTACAGGTGTGCATTAACTAACCATTTGATTTGGGGTGGGTGAGGCACCAGTATGTCCACTTTCACAAGGAAATGCCCTTTCTTGTCTATAATACCTGAAGTGGAAATTAAACAGCCTGTTTTTCACCATCTGAGAGCTCAGAACTTTTAAACAACCGTAAAGTTTGGGACTGCAAAGTCACGGAAGGAGGAAAGAGATTTTACTAGAAGTGATTTAGAATCACATTAAATGATTAGCATGGCATTGTAAGACATAAGACCAAGAGGCTACTTACACTTTCTGCTGGGCATTCCCCCCCTCCACCTCCAAGAAGACAGAGAGCATCTCAGAACTGCCACACCTAAATGTGTTTCCCTCATTAAGGTTGTTGGGTGACTGCCCTCCTCCTTGCTTTGCCCTCAGCTGCTGCAGGTGTTCTATATTTCTGCCTCACTCAGCTGACACAAACAGCTTTCCCCCAGTCCTTTGTCTCTGTCACACACACCAGAATAGAAACCCATGTTATTGTCTTTCGAGGATAGGAATATGAACCATATTTCTTCAACACAGGCAAATATATCAGCCTTGCACATAAATTTACAATCATATTTGTGATCAACTGTGTATACCTATGCCAGCCACTGAAGGAACTTGCACAGACTGAAAGCAAGGGGTGCAAAGGAATCTCTTCCTTTGCCATTTACAAACACTTCCCTATCTGGCTGCCTGGAAGTGATTAAGGTTATGAGATGCAGAAGGAAAATACAGTATAGGAGAGTGATGCAAGCTAGGCCTCCTCCTCTTTGTGAGAAATGCTTTGCTAATGCAACCATGAGGTCCACCGATCCCTTACAGTTCACACACCGGCACAAGGGTAAGCATTTTGAAAGCCGTACCTACTGGTGGAGGTGCAAAGGAAACTGTTAACAGACACTCCCATTAGTTTGCTTCCTGACTAGAACTGGGACTAATTATTTTTCCTAAAGGATGCACAAATACCAACTTTACCAACTGGAAAAGCAGCAACCCACAGAGGCACACGGGGCCTCTGAATTTTTGCCGGTAGTACAAAAAGTTAAAGGCAGAAGACTTCTGTGAAGAAAAAGTTAACATTCCTTTTATGGCTTAAAGGTTAAAATGTACCCTAATCTGATTTCTTTATCTCCCTACCACAGGAGCTATTTAAAAGGCAACCTAATGCAACAGCGAATAAGCAGGGCTGTCTCAGTGGCACAGGAATGTGGTGTGGTGTTCAAGTGCCCTAACAGACGGATGTGGCTGAGCAACTGAGACTTCACCCCGGGACACCAGGATTAAAGGGGGTGCAGAAATCTAGAAGGGAACCTTTACTGGCAGGTGTTAGGAAATAAAAACTACCACCTTCCTGCTCTCTTCACTTTTTGAAAGCACACACTTTCTGAGTGATGGTGGGGATCATATTCTCCTTGTCATCTTTTGTGGGGGAATGTGTGCCCACACTACAAAGCAACGTAGATGGGAGATGATGCCACTGACTCTAGGTGCCAAGATGGCTAATTACAGCTGTGGCCCAGGCTTGGACTACAGAAGAACCAAGAAGCAGATTCAAAGATTTGCACGTGAGAGTAGCCATGCTGTGTACCCTCATCTAGAGCAGTTACTTTTTTTGAGAATGTGACTCCCAGAATCCAGCTGTATGCTGGCTATGCTGGCTGGAGAATTCTGGTACTCAAAAAGTAACTTTTCTAAGTTCTGGCCTGGTATAAGTTCATACTTCTTCTAGCAGATCAGCGCCACTTCTGCTTTGTCCATAAAAGGTTGCCCACTCTTTTGGAGGAGAGAGAATGATTCTCTACCTTCCTTCCTGGTGTGCAGGTGCCACCTGTTGGGCTTCTTTCCATTCACCATGAGATGTTCGTTCTCCTTCTGGCATTCCCTCTCCCATCTCTGCCCATTTCTGCCTGCGCTGCTCAAGTTTTTGGGACCAGTCGCTAAAGCCCTCATCTTCTTCCAGTTCTGACGTCCCAGAAGGCTTACAATCGATCCTGAAATGGATGAGAAAGAAAACTGTTGAATGCCACACAAGTCTAGAATAACATAGAGGGTGCCTTCTGGCTATTGTAGCTCTTCAGGCACAAACCTGCTTCGTCTGATGATCTGTGCAACCATTCCCTTGACCCAAAAAAATAGATGCAGGTCCTCAGGGCCTTTATATCTCATAGTTATAGACTCTGTGATCAGCTCCCATCATAGCAACCCTAAAATGCTGATTATTGTTGCCATCCATCAGCTCTCATTGACATAGTAGTAAGCAATTTATCATTTTAGAACTTGTCTCAAATTTCTTACTGAAATCAGTGGGGTGCCAAAATATATAACTTTGCCTCCTACCATTGTCATGTAGTTGTTCACAACAGTTATTTCTAGTGTTATTAATCTTGCTCTGCTCTTTGGGGAGCTTAGGGCTTCTTCAGTCCCAGCAGCAGTTCAGGAAACATAGCTTATTAGAAAACTAATTCTTGGTCTGATTGAAAATAAAAATAATGAAAATTAAAAACAACAACATGACAATGGCAGTTTGCTGTTGGTTTGGAATGAGAAGGATGTGGCCCAGAGATAGTAAATGATGTCATTATAATAAGTTCCAGAGTGTTTTCAAAGTGATCTATAACTGGCCAGCACACAATGTTTTCATTGCTACACCCATCAGAAACAGTTACAGTGGCATGCATATGGGAGGGGGAGGTTGCCATTTAGAATCATAGAATCATAGAAAAGTGAAGTTGGAAGGGGCCTACAAGGCCATCATTTAGATATTTGCTAAGTTTTTAATGTTCCCAGTGTATGTGCATTAGAGTTTGGGAGTAACTCAATACACATAACAAGTCACTTGTAATTCATTCCTCTTTTTCATTAAGTCATAATGAAGCTCCATTGTGACTGCAGTATATATATGGATGACATAGAGCCCTTGGTAGTGAGAGTGTTTTAGTTCCAGGATGTGTGTGGCCTCACTATTTAGCTGTGCCTGCTACCACAAGCCAGTAGTATCTGTAGTATTCTCGTGAGGCCTTTAGCAGCCTAAAAGAATACACCTTAGTTACCTTTGAATAAAGAGAAACTAAAAGAATCATTTTCTAAAGAATGTTTCTATAATCGTAACTAAGCCCTTTTGAAGGCCTTGCAACTGTAATTGACTGATTTTTTAAAAGTAACTTTCCCAGCTTCAGTGTGTAAAAGAGAGAGAGAGAGAGAGAGAGATTATTTGTGTCACTATTGATGAAAAAAAGGAAGGGGGAAGGGGGAGCCTTTCCATCCAACTAGCAAGAGTCTGTCGTTTGGCCTCCAGAGTATATAGGCTGCATTCCAAAGCGATGATTGAACACAGTGGTTGCAATTGAATTCAAAGATGCACACATTTCCAGACCAGAGGGAACCAAAAAGAAAATCTAGGACATCTGTATTTGTGTCAAGGAAGCAGGGGTCATTTGGAACCCTTCCCATTCTGTGTCTCATATTTTCTCTCCTGGGCTTTCTTCGATATCTGCACCCAACTTTTTTTTAACGACAAAAGAGAAACTCAGGACAGATAGGAACAATTCTATACGCAGCTGCATTACATCTTTGCACTGAAACAGTCTTGGCAGGGAAGAATGGGTGAGATGGTGTTGATCTCTGTCCTGTGGGGCACAGGTCACCCCGGGTTTTCAGGACACAGCAGACTAAAGTGTACCTAACCAATACACATGACATTCATAGGTGAAGCTTGAACATCATGTTCAAGCTTGCACAGAAGCTAATTTCTGCCATCAGTAAACCATAGCTCTTCAATTAGAATGTACAGTACAATGTAGCAAAAATTACAGGAGAATTTTTTTACTAATAATACATTGTGTGTTGTGGAGTGTTTAGATGGCAAGAAGGAGAGCAATTTCACAAGTGCATGATCTGGCCCTGATGCACATGCAAACTGTGCCAAATTCATAATGTGGGCCATTCCCCCACAGCTCACATCAAGCTCCAGTTGCTCAGAAGTGAAGGACCTCTGCACATAGAGGACTCCCCATTATTTTCTCTGAGGTTCTGGTGCTTTGGAGTAAAGGATGAAATAAGAGATGTTCCATAAATATAATCTGGACCTACAGGAGAGTTATCACAGCTGTTTGTTAGAAGTTGTGTTCAAGGAAACGATGGGCCTTATGCAGTAAGAAAAGGATGAGTCACCATAAGAGGGAGCTGAGTTTACAGAAGAGAAAGCTAGTATTAAACGCTGACCTTTGCAGCCAGATCAGCAGCTGCAGAATAGGCTGGGGAGCAGAATGAACTCATCAAACCTGCTTGAAAGGGAGGTGGAAGGGGGGAATGTGGGGGGAAAGTATGTGTATTTCCTCCATGATGTAGCCATTAGGTACCCTGCTCGAGATATCTCTGGAGATGCATCGTTCATGCATCATTGTGAAGGTTTCATTTTCCAGTTGGATGTTGTTTTGGGAAACAGGGGGTCCCCCCTCACTTGAGAATATGAGGGTCAAGTGCAGATGGCGAGGGGAGTGAGAAGAAGGGGTGCATGGCTGTTCTCCTCTGCAATTTTACTTCTGCATAAATCAACCTAACCTGTTATTGTAGATCAGTGGTTCCCAACCTTGGGTCCCCAGAAGTTCTTGGACTAAAACTCCCAGAAAGCTTCACTACTAGCGGCGCTGGCCAGGATTTCTGGGAGTTGTAGTGCAAGAACATCTGGGGACCCAAGGTTGGGAACCATTGTTGCAGGTGGACAGAAAAATATTTGCAGGGGGAAACTGGCAGGTAACAGTAGGTGAAGGCGCCCACTAACTTCCCTCTGCAAATTTTCTCTCATTCACACTCACATTTGAATACTTAGAAGTGTGTTCTCCTGTTCTAAGGAAAAAAGAAAAAAAAAGATGGGCATATCCCATTCAGTGGCAAGATATTATTCATGAAATAGCCCTCTGTTATTTAGGTAAGCTAAGACTTGATTAGATTTTCGCTTGATTTACCAGCAAATACTAGTAATGAGGTTGATAACTACACACCCAGCAGACTTATTTATTATTTTATTTTTTATTTTTAATATTTTATTTTTACTTTACACCCTTCTTCCAGTGAGCTTAAGGCAATGCACACAAAACTCCTCCTCCCCATTTTATACTTTCAAGAACCTGGTGAAATAGGTCAGACTAAAAGGGGGTGGAAGGCCCAATGTCACCTAATGAGCTTCACAGGCAAGGAGGGATTTAAACCTGGGATTCCTGGTCCTAGTCCAACACCCGAACCCTAATTCCACACTGATTCTCTCAGATGTAGTTGGGCTGCACAATTCCTATTGGTCCTAGCCAGCATTACTAACACTGAGGAAGTGTGAAAGTTGCAGTCCGGTAGCATCTAGAATGCGAAGAGGTGCCCACCCTGATGCAGATTCTGCCTTTCAGGAAGCAGGACTTAACTAAAAACCCAATTACTGCTCTCTCAGATGTTGAAGGAAAGGAGTCTAATTCCTAAGGCTGCAATTTCTCCTTTCTGAGAACAGGAGGTTTCCCATATAACATCAACCGCCATGTGCAAGCCAGCTGAAAGAGGGTCCTTACTTTCTAGCAAGTTTGCATGACTCACTGTCCACCATGCTGAGCAAAGACCCTTGTTTGATGCAGCTGCATGGCGGGCAAAAGAAACAAGAGGCTTATTGGGCCCAGACCAAGAAATGCGGCCAATGGGCTGCATTCAGCTCAACAGTAGCTGAATTTCTCTTCTCCCTTAATTTTCAAGGACACTGACACTTTAGAAGAAAAGAAAAGAAAAAAAGCAAAGTGTGCTACTGAAATACCACCTTATAGCACTTAAAGCCCTCTCTGGGCAGTTTAGAATTTGATTATGCTTGCTGCAAGTGCCTGGTGAGCTGGTTACTCCATTTACTGATCTCAGAAGAACCTTGAGTCTGCTGCCTGAGACTGAACTCAGGTCGTGAGCAGCATTTTAGCTGCAGTACTGAAATTTAACCACTGGGCCATGAGGCACAGCAGAATGTTTCCAACTGCCTCCATGACAGGAGCACAGAGGTTCTCTTTGAAATCCAAGGGACCCACAGTTTGGCACACATCCTAACTTTAAAGTCAGTTGTTAGTACCAACAGGCTAGAGGCACTGAAGCAATTGTGTAAATCCCATTGCTTTTGTGGATCTACTCTAGTTGGGATGAGAAAGTAGATTAGACCCTTGTAACCTTGGGGAAGCTGCTTCATTTTTCCAGCATCCTAGTGTATTAACAGGCCTCATGCCTCAGTGTTTGCCAGTACTAAGTCTACAATTTTTCATTTTTACTGAGCTGACTTATATTTGTATATAAATACACACACTCTCCAGCTGAATTCTTAAGCTAAGAAATGTGTATCATTACTTTTCACAGCAGAACCAAGTCTTCTGATGTGTCACTTCTTACCGGCTTTCTTGTACTGCCACTCCATTTTCTGAAGTGCTGGTGTTGCTAAGGCCTTCTTCTGCCTGAGACCTCAGTTGCCTCTCCCGTTCCCTTCGCCGTCGCTCTCTAGCTGCTTCCTCCTCATCCTCCACGCTCCATTGTGCTGTCAACCTGCCAATTACAGAGAAAATGCAATCATGCCAGATACAGCCATGTTAATATAAACTGTAATTTTTGAATTTTTCAGGGATTAATTCCCTATTTTCATAGGACTCCTACTCATTTTACTTGGGACACTGGCCAGACTTACTGAAACTCACATTTTTTCTTTATTAAACAAACATATGGTCTAAGATACCCTCCAATACTCCCCTGAAGCTGTGCATTGTAGAGCTTGCTAACATTCTACTTTTGAAGTCTACATTACCTTGACTGAAACCTGTCAGGCTCTGGATTCTAGCATCAATTCTGGCTAAAACAAATGGCAGTTGGAGTTACAGGTGTGACTCTTGGTGCTGAAATGGTGCCAATGTCCATGCCAATTAAGCATCCAAACGGAGGGCATTCCGTAATTGGTGTGCCAGGACAGAAAAGGCCAAAGTATTTCTAACAAGCTATGAGAGACATATGATCCTCCTTACATACTAAGAGAAGATGTACCTAATTTTTATAAAGAAGTAAAACAATTACTCATGTCCAATGCTAGAGATCAGGGACGTGGTGGCGCTGCGGGCTAAACCGCAGAAGCCTGTGCTGCAGGGTCAGAAGACCAAGCAGTCGTAAGATCGAATCCACGTGACGGAGTGAGCGCCCGTCACTTGTCCCAGCTCCCGCCAACCTAGCGGTTCGAAAGCATGCAAATGTGAGTAGATAAATAGGGACCACCTTGGTGGGAAGGTAACAGTGTTCCGTGTCTAAGTTGCACTGGCCATGTGACCATGGAAGATTGTCTTCGGAAAAAATGCAGGCTCTATGGCTTGGAAACGGGGATGAGCAGCGCCCCCTAGAGTCGAACACGACTGGACAAAAATTGTCAAGGGGAACCTTTACCTTTACCTTAATGCTAGAGATCACCACAATCAGGTTGTTGCCAAAGGTCTGAGCCCTCAAGAGGCCCCACTGACGCTACTGCAGCCACCAGTCTTCCCATCTCTGAGATGGACTGGCTGATCATATAATTTACTAATGTTATTTGTGGGTTTGAATGCTGCAACCAAATGCCTGCTTTGGTTAGGTAGACTGGCAAGGCAGCCCAGCAGAGGTATGGTGGCTGAGGATTCTGGAAATGTAGTCCAAAAATGTAATTTCCAAGTAGTGAATATCTAGAAAAGCAACATGAGCAGTGAAAGATTATGAGAAGCAATTCTGGCTTTATCAGCGACTCTCATGACTATCAGTAGCAAACTGCATAGGAAAAAGTAACAGTTGAAAACATTTCGAGAAAATGCATTCAATCACTTCAGCTATAGCACTAATGCCTTAAACAAGAATACAGTACTATAAACATGGAGGTATAGTTCCAGTTTTAGTCTCAATTTGAGCAGACACACTGAAATTACTAGGACTAACAAGTTCTATCCATTTCAGTGGGTCTGCTCTAGTGGGACTGAAATAGCACTTCAGAAACCACAGGCTCTGAGCATGCTGAGCTAGACAATAAGAGACTGAGGAAAAAACCAAGAAGCTTAGGGCTCCTGCCTACTAGCAGGAGAGAGAATTCTGAATGTTTGGAGTGTTTTCTTAGCAACATTGTATTTTAATCAGAATTCTTGAGCCAAGCTGTTGTAGTGCCCCAAATGAAATGGGGAGGGCACTGGGCCCTAGCATCCTACAAAATGAGGCCTCCTCAACCATTTCTCAGCTTTGCTCTGTTTTCCTTCCTCTTCAGTGTAAGATTAAAATACTGACATGGTTTGTCCCAAAACACCCTAGTCACCAGATAATAAATTTTCTGTCAGCACAATTACTTCTCAGGTACCAGAGAAAACGATAAGGTTTCTTTAACATTCCAATAAGGGTGATAACGCACATTTTAGTGCCACGACTACTTCTTCCCTTTTTTAAAAACAGCAGTCCACGAGTACTTCTATAAAAACCAACAAACAGCTCTTCATGACAGAAAGTCATATCCTGGTGTTCCGCAGAATTTCTGCTACCAAAAAATGCAGATACATAATAAAAATATGGATCCCCTTATTTCAATTTTGGTTAAGGGCTACATCATTCACCTTCCCCCACTGAACCCCACCCCACCAGTACACTTACATGAAAGGAAATTCATACACTAATACTGCAGGAAGGCATTATAAATGCCCATCCTTCTCAGACCCTTCCTCAATTTATATCTGAATGTAGCTACCTAAGAATATGCCAGAGGGATGTGTACAGGTGTAGCAGCTGGGACTCACACAGCATTGCTACAATATATTGAAATGCAGATGTTGCCACATGAGAAAAATGGGGTAATTGACTGCAGGCATCCACTGATGGTTGATTCTCAGATACCTAAAGTGGTCAACTGACCTACTCAGTTGAGGATGGACCTCTATTTAACTGCCCAATTCCAGTCCAGAAAAAGAGATTACTTATCATTCAGAAGAGAAGACTTGAATTTTCCATTTGAAACCACATGGGCAGCACACTCATTAACCACACACACATATCACCTCGTCCAAGTTTACCAAACTATGGTGGCATCATTTCATGTTTAAGAAGACATCAAAGAACCCACCGGCCTCTGAAAGGCTAGCAAGTTTTCTTTAGCACAGATTTTCAAGGACTGTCGCAAATTTCATCAGACACATCCACTAAAGTGGACCACCATCCTTGAAACTTTATGCCAAATAAAATTTGCTAGCCTTTGAGGCACCACAAGATTTTTTGTTGTTTTTTCAGCAACACCCTAATACAGCCAATCCCACCCAACCCCGAACTATTTGCATTTCTGTTTTCATGATAGGAAATATTTTCAAATTGGGGTCTATAGACATAAATTAGCATGGACAAATTTCATGCCAATCTACCCAGTTTTTTTAAGCCACATGCAACTGACCACTACAGTCTCTGGTTTCAGCAAAGGAAAAGTGGAACTCCTGTTAGCCATTTCTTTGGTCTAGATAAAGCTTTATAGTTCTGTCTAAGGCAGGGCTGCTACCCTGGCCACAGACAGCTCCAAGGCAGCAACACACGAATCATCATTTTCCCCAGTTTGCCTTTGGCTGCTGTAGGGTGAGGCTATGATCCTTCTCATTTATCCCACTGAAATACTAACCAAGTATTTCCACACTGTTAAGAACTTAACCATCGCTGAATTTATTTTTCAAAAATTCAAAATGAGTCTGATTCTCAAAATTTGAAATGTGGGGTCTTAACGCAGACATTTGTCTTCAGTATTAAGCTGAAATTGCAATTTGACTGCAGAGTTTAAAAGTTTTGACTGAATCCTATTATTTAGTTATGCTGGCGTTAAGTACAATGGCATAAATAGTGGCTGTGAGCACTAGTTAAAAAGTTGCTACCTTCCTTGAATGCCACTTACATGAATTGTGCTACAAGGGAGAGAAGTGACTGTTCTTTAATTAGCAGTAATTTGCTCCTGAAATTTAAACATTTGTTCCACTGTTTATATGGTAGGAGAAGCACTGTTTTTTGTTTTTTGTTTTGTGGCTTTTTTGTTGTTGGGGTTTTTTTTGACTGCATATCATGGTGTGCTTGGCTAAAAGTGGCAAACATTGGTATGCCACTCAAATCTGGCAGCAGAGCCCAGAGTGGGAAAAAAGTTAATTTGTGCAACACAGCCACCATTAACAGCATGCTCCATCTTTGCAAAACTGCTTGAAAATTTATTCTTCCTTTGCAGAAATTTGGCCAGATTCTCCCAATCGCCCAGTTTTGTTTCCTGCAAACAGGGTGGAGAAGTTTGAGAGGTCATTGGGATACAGCTATAATCTGACCCCAGAATACGGCAGCCTCTTACATTTCTGTTTTCTCCTAGCTCACCAGGATATGATGAAAATATAAATATGTGGCATGTGAGCAATTAGCAGCATATATTTCAGGAGAGCTTTCCTCCTGTTCTCCCATTATCAAATAAGTCTGCACTTTGGACCTGTCTGTGAGACTCTGAAGGGCACAACAAAAACTGCAATGGAACTGGTTTAAAAGTGCATTAATGGGATGTGCTAAGATGACGAAGAAATAGTGAGGCTATGATTTTTCTTTCTTTCACTGTGGAGCTTATCAAGAACGCTACTGTCATTATTAAAATTAAAGTGTACGTGTGTGTGTGTTCAGTGAAGCCTTTCCTCCCTCTGTGTATAAACCACCACCTTCCTCTCATTCTCATTTCCAGGAAGAAGGGAGTTACCAAGAGCAAAAATAAAATAAAGTAAAAGACAAAAACTATCAGAAATGAGACCTGAGGAACCTCTTTCTATATTCATTCTGTGCTCATATTTACTGTTTTCTTGACAGTTCCCATGGAAATTGTTTTCTGGGTCCTGGCAGGAAGCCAAAGTGTTGTGTGTGTTTTTTAAAAAAAAATCTAAATGAAGTAATTCATTACACTTCATCATGGCCTCTATCCCATATGTATGCAACAATGCCCAGTGAAAGGTCTGATTCGGAGATGCTCTTAACCCCTTTCTTTCCAGCTTGCTTCTTTCCTGTATAAAAGGGGATGATATTATCTTGGTTTTGCTAGAATTGTTTGGAATTCTGGTTTTCACTCTGCTAATTTAAAATCTCTGCTTCCCCCCTGCCCTCAAATTTCCAGCCAATAATTTGAAGAGCAAATTACAAACACCCCATCCTAAGTCTGGCTCTGGATACTCTGCTGGGAATCTGCCTGGAATGTTGTGACAGGCGTTCCTATTGCCACTGTAGCCTCCCTTCGATGCTCCTTTTGTTTCTCAGCTGGATGTGACTAATTTTCTCCCCATGACCTCAGAAGCTCACGATCTTTTGCTACTTCTTTTGCCTCGGCTGCCTAGCATGTATCTAAAGGACAGTTACTTCAAGAGAAACAATAGGACACAGCAGCAGCAGCAATAACAAAAGTCACTGGAAATATTTAAAAGATCTTTGGGCAGTATTAACAAACAGGCTGCTATTGTCCTCTTCTGACTAGCATCCCAGCACAAGCTGTGTTCTGTGGTTGCCATCTGAGTCTG